TCAGAAAGGCTAAGGCACAAAATAAGATACATTTAGCAAGGGATATAAAAGGCAATAAATACTGGTTAGTTCAATATATTAGGAGCAAGAGAAAGATTAAGGAAAGTGTATGTCCTCTACTTAGCAAGGAAGGAGAGCTAATAATAAATGACATCAAGAAGGCTGAAGGGTTAAATGCCTGTTTTGTTCAGTCTTCACTAAAACGGTGGTGATCAGATACTAAACACAATTAATATTAACAACAAGGGGGAAGAAATGCAAGCCAAAATAGGGAAAGAACACGTTAAAGATATTTAGATAAGTTAGATATATTCAAGGTGGCAAGGAAGAAATTCATCCTAGGGTACTTGAGGAACTAGCTGCAGCAATCCTGGAACCGTTAGTGATTATCTTTGAGAAACTCATGGAAGATGAGTGAGATCCCAGAGGACTGGAAAAGGGCAAACACAGTACTTATCTTTGAAAAGGGGAAGAAAGAGGACCCAGGGACTTATGGTGCAGTCAGCCTAACTTCAATACATGGAAAGATACTGTAACAAATTATTAAACAATCAATTTGTAAGCATTATCTAGAGGATAATAGGGTTATATGGAATAGCCAGCATGGATTTGTCAAGAAGAAAGCATGCCAAACCAACCTAATTTCCTTCTTTGACAGGAATATTGGCCTAGTGGATATATCTTGATTGTAGTATGGCTTTTGACAGAGTCCCACATGACAGTCTCATAAGCAAACTAGGGAAATGTGGTCTAGATGAAATGATTATAAGATGGGTGCACAGCTGGTTGAAAGACTGTATTCAGAGTAGTTATCAATGGTTCACTGTCAAACTGAGAGGGTGTATCTAGCAGGGTCCTCCAGGGGTCAGTCCTGGGTCTGGTACTATTCAATATTTTCATTAATGACTTAGTTAATGGAGTGAAGAGGATGCTTATAAAATTTGCAGATGACACCAAACAGGCAGGGGTTGGAAGCACTTTGGAGGCCAAGATTATAATTCAAAAAGACAGTGACAAATTGGAGAGCTGGTCTGAATTCAACAAGATGACATTCAGTAAAGACAAGCACAAAGTATCTCACTTAGGAAGGAAAAATCAAAGGCACAGCACCAACATGGGGAATAACTGGCTAGGAGGTAGCACTGCTGAGAAGGATCTGGGTGTTTTAGTGGATCACAAACTGAATAGCAGTCACTAACGTGATGCCGTTGTGAAAAAGGCTAATATTCTGGGGTGTGTTAACAGGAGTATAAGCCATAGGAGGTGATTATCCCACTCTCCTGGGCACTGGCGAGGCCTCAGCTGTAGTACTGTATCCAGGTCTGGGTGTCACACTTGAAGAAAGATGTGGAAAAATTGGAAATAGTCCAGAGAAGAGCAACAAAAATGATAAAAGGTTTAGAAAACTTGACCTATGCGGAAAGTTAAAAACCTGGGCATGTTTAATCTTGGGGAAAGAAGACTGAGGGGGTGACCTGATCACAGTCTTCAAATGTGTTAAGGGCTGTTATAAAGAAGACTGTGATCAATTGTTCTCCATGTCCACTGAAGGTAGGACAAGAAACAACAGGCTTCATCGGCAGCAAGGGAGATTTAGGTTAGATATTAGGAAAAACTTACTAACTATAAGAGTAGTTAAGTTCTGAAATAAGCTTCCAAGGGAGGCTATGGAATCCTCATCATTGGAAGTTTTTAAGAACAGGTTGGACAAACACCTTTCAGGGATGATCCAGGTTTACTTGGTCCTCCCTCAGCACTAGGGGCTGGACTTGCTGACTTCGATGCCCTTTTCAGCCCTACATTTCTATGATTCCATAATTGTCCTGGGGTTGCTGTTCCAAAAGAGTAACAGAGCAGGTTGAGTAAGGACTGGTTGAAAATGGAGCTGGCTGGGACTGGGAAGCTGCAAGAAGCACTATTACCAGAGACCCCTGGGAGGCAGAGCTACGCTGTATAAGGAGCTGAGGGAATTCAGTTGATGGGGAGGGACCCAGGAGAGAGAAGCTAGGGAGAGTTCCCTGTCCCTCTGAAGGGCCTCAAAGAAGGTCCAGTATTTGGGATTGTCTCTAGCCGGAAAGCATAGCTACAGGAGCAGGGCTACTTCCTACGGTGGGACCCTAGAGTGGAGAGGAACCCCAATCTAGGGTCTGTGAATACCAGGAAATGAGATACAAGCAGAAGGGCAGAAGGCTACTTTAAGTCGTATTTGGACTCCCAACAGTCAGTCACTATCCTGATGGGGGGAGGAGCACAGGAGGGCGGAGGACCTTTTTGTTTAGAGTTAAGCCCAGGTGGTGTGAAAAAACTGCTTTTCAGCTGAACCCTGGAATGGGACTGAATCCCAGAAGGGGAGCAGAACTGTTGTGTGACTTGGGCGAAGGGCTGAGCCACAGAAGACACAGTAAGAGAGTCCAGAGATTACACTGGTCATCAGAGCCGAGAAGGTGGCCACCAGAGGGGTGTGAGAGGTGCAGTCCCATGCATCGCCATGTCTCGATATGTAGAGGCACCCTATGGGTAAGCACTCATGTCAACAAGGGGAAACAATGAAAGCCTCTATAAACACAGTGCTGTCAATGCACAACCTAGAGAATTCCCTCCCCCCCCCCAGTAACTTCTTTTAGTTATACTGATCTTAGTTATTACAAGTCATTATTCTGTACCAAATGACTGGAGGCTAGCTAATGTGATGCCAATGTTTAAAAAGGGCTCCAGAGGTGATCCCAGCAATTACAGGCCGGTAAGCCTCACTTCAGTACCGGGCAAACTGTTTGAAACTATAGTAAAGAACAAACTTATCAGACACATAGATGAACATAATTTGTTGGGGAAGGGTCAACATGGTTTTTGTAAAGGGAAATCATGCCTCACCAATCTACTAGAATTCTTTGAGGGGGTCAACAAGCATGTGGACCAGGGGGATCCAGTGGATATAGTGTACTTAGATTTTCAGAAAGCCTTTGACAAGGTCCCCAGATAAGCTGTCATGGGATAAGGGGGAAGGTCCGCTCATGGATCGGTAACTAGTTAAAGGATAGGAAACAAAGGGAAGGAATAAATGGTCAGTTTTCAGAATGGGGAGAGGTAAATAGTGGTGTCCCCTAAGGGTCTGTACTGGGACCAGTCCTATTCAACGTATTCATAAATGATCTGGAAAAAGGGGTAAACAGTGAGGTGGCAAAATTTGCATATGATACAAAACTACTCAGGATAGTTAAGTCCCAGGCAGACTGCGAAGAGCTACAAAAGGATCTCACAAAACTGGGTGACTGGGCAACAAAATGGCAGATGAAATTCAAGGTTGATAAATGCAAAGAAATGCACATTGGAAAACATAATCCCAACTATACATATAAAATGATGGGGTCTAAATTATCTGTTACCAGTCAAGAAAGTGATCTTGGAGTCATTGTGGACAGTTCTCTGAAAACATCCACTCAATGTGCAGCGGCAGTCGAAAAAGAAAACAGAATGTTGAGAATCATTAAGAAAGGGACTGATAATAAGATAGAAAATATCATATTGCCTCTATATAAATCCATACGTGCAGATGTGGTTGCCCCGTCTCAAAAAGATGTATTGGAATTGGAAAAGGTTCAGAAAAGGGCAACAAAAATGATTAGGGGTATGGAACGGCTGCTGTATGTGGAGAGATAAGAAAACTGGATTTTTCAGCTTGGAAAAGAGACGACTAAGGGGGGATATGATTGACATCTATAAAATCATGACTGGTGTGAAGACAGTAAATAAGGAAGTGTTATTTACTTCTCATAACACAAGAACTGGGGTCACCAAATGAAATTAATAGGCTGAAGGTTTAAAACAAACAAAAGGAAGTATTTTTTCACAGAACGTACAGTAAGTCTGTGGAACTCTTTGCCAGAGCATGTTGTGAAGGCCAAGACTATAACAGGGTCCAAAAAAGAACTAGGTGAGTTCATGGAGGATAGGTCCATCAATGGCTATTAGCCAGGGTGGGCAAGGATGATGTCCTATTTGCCAGAAGCTGGGAATGGGCGACAGGGGATGGATCACTTGATGATTACCTGTTCTGTTCATTCCCTCTGGGGCACCTGGCATTGGCCACTGTCAGAAGACAGGCTACTGGGCTAGATGGACCTTTGATCTGACCCAGTATGGCCATTCTTATGTTATTATTATAGAATATAATAATATGTAGCAAGGTGGTCACCCTGCTCCAGCCCTGAAGGGTTAAAGCAGCCCTGGAGAGGGCTGTGGCTGGAGAAAAGCTAGGCTGATTGGGAAACCAGCCACAGCTGTAGCCAGTGGAATCAGGGCCCAGCTGGCCCTTTTAAGAGGGCGGTGGGCCAGAAGGACTGAGACATTCTCTCTCTAGCTGTCAGAGAGAGAAGGACCTGGCTGTCTGGGAAGCTGAGGAGGGTACCTAGGGTGGATCTGTGCCGGGGAAGGGCAGAGGGAGCTGGGGAGCTCCAGCCTAGCAAAGCCCCAGGCTGCAGGCCGAGTTAAGGGCCCACAAAAGGATACTAGGGCTGCAGAGGGGCAGCCCAGGAATAGGCAGAGGCAGCTGGTCCAACCCCCCTTGCCAATGATGAGTGGTTTACAGACTGCAGTCTGCCCCAAGGAGCGGGGGCTAAATGGAGACTGGCAGTAGCCACTGAGGCAAGGTGGGGTTAGGAGGTTGGGGGCTCCCCTGGGAGGGCAGACCCAGAGTGAGGGGGTACTGTGGTGGGCAGAACCCTGATGTAGAGGGGCACCGGGAGGGACGTGGGGGCCAGCGGCAGGCGAGACACTGGCCTGCAGAGGGTGCTCCGGGCTGGAAGAGCTAATTCCCAGGACGACCAGCAGGAGGCGCTGCGCCAGTGAGTCATCGCCCCATCACATAATATAAAAGTGTGATTGTAAAGTTGATGGGATCCTTTTAGGACTGAAGTTACACGACATCCAGTTTGAATATTTAGCTTTTAAAAATTTAAATATTAATATTTTTAATATTTAGCATTCCCTTCAAATGTACTTACTGTTAAAGAATATATAGCTGGCTCTATATTATACAGATCTCGGTCTAATGGAGAAAATTGCTGGTACATTGGACAGTTCTTGTCCCACAGAACAGGGGGTTTCAAAACACACCCACAGCCACCATTCGCCTCAAACATCGCTGCATTAAGATGCAGAGGGAGATCTGCAAAAGTAAAGTAATCACAACTGAAAAATAGTGAAGATTCAATAGAAAGACAGCAAAATGTGGGTTTTTTAAAAATTACTGTTAAAATTGAATTGACAGTATAAAACTAATATTAAATTTCTGGGGACAGCTTTAACTTACATATCCAAGTTGCCCAAATAGTTTATACTTTAAAAAAATAAGGATTTTCTAGTTTTACCCATTTTCTAGTTTTTGTTCTATTTAGGACTTGGCCACACCCACGAACAATACCTAGCAAGTTTCTTGAGATTTGCCCCAAAATCTAGGATGAAAAAAACGGATTGTGTAATTTGAAGACAGCTGAATGGAGCAACTTTTTGTGAAAACCCAAAAGGTAAGGGAGCATAAATAGGGATAGAATATAGCCCAAAGATCGTAACCAACACTGCATCAGTACCCAGACTTTGTTCCAGAGGAGTCACTTCTAGGATAAGGGAATTCAGTGCCTTTGTATTCTTAAAAAGTTATCATAAATGATATTATGGGTCTGGCAGTGTAAAAGTGCTGTATTCCAGCCAATTATGGTATATGTGGGTGCAGTGCTCTAGGGACTTCCATGTCATCAGTGAGGCAAAAGACCTACCAAATTAGGCACAGAATTCCAGTATTCTGGAAGCACTAATTCACATAGGGCTAGATTGCTTTTAGCCTTAACATAGTTGCACAAGGGAATAAAGCCAGGTAAAGCCCTCCGACACATCTCAAATGGCCACATGGAATTTTACCCAAATCATTTGTCTCCCTTCTGGTTACAGTGCAAGGTGTGATGTTCTCTGCAGCAAGCAAGTGGGTGAGGAAGGTTGGTTGACATAAATTACCTCCATGGGAACAAGAGGGGAGCACGGGATGAATTGTGCCTGTTAGAGTCACAATTTCTCCCAAGGCTATTTCTGGAGTGGTGCCCTTATGCAGCACTTCTTATGCAGGCTGTACTAATGGAAACAATCTGGTCCCTATTCTTTATGAGTTACCACCCAGGTATATATTCACTTAAAACTTCACATCTGCCACAATGTAGTTTACTGTATATCTTTTTCTTTTTGTAGTTGGTTTAAATCTTTTTCAAGTACAGTATCTTTGCCAAATAACCCAACATCTGTTTAATAAATCCACAAATACAGATGATGGTAAGGTAAAGAAATATTATGGTAAATACAGTTTCATAATTAAGGAAGCACTTCTTTTATAATATTTAAAATGTACATAAATATATATTACTAGAGGAATTATTCTACCCATACCATCAGTTTGATAGTTAACTGCCACAAGCTGTATTCCATGGAGCCAGAATATAAGGGGATGGGGGTTTGAAGAGTCAATGCGTGTGGCAGCAGGATATGTTCTCAATAGCTGACAGGTGGTATGCTCAATCAGTTTCTGAGAATACCGTCTGCACAGACGTTTGGCAGCATTCTCATTCAGTGAAGAGATATGATAACATTTAGGTGTCCTTATGATAGCACTGAGAGAAGTTGTAGGGTTGAAAGGAGGAGAACAAAGTTCTTCCCAGGTTTGCCGGGCACCCTCCAAAGGACCTGGAAAATAAACATCTCAAATTATAGCTGCAGATACTCAGACCTCAAGCATCAGTTTTTTCCTGTGAAGTATATTTATGTATTTTGGATTGGGTAAAAATAAATGATCTCTAGAAACCACACTGTTCACATAGGCATCACGTTTCTTTCTTCATATGCAGTAAGAGCAATTAGTGAGAGACTGACTACATAATGGTTAAATACTAATTGATACTGTAACTAGACATGTATTAATAGATATTTCCATAAATAAATATTTGAATATCATTCCCTTGAATTAAATGAGTATATATTTAATATGGTATTTAATGTGTGAGAATATCTTAACAATTTGAAATGAGTCTTGACTTTTAATTCATTGCTGGAAACCTTTATAATATTGCTAGTATGCTGCTTGGAATACAGAGATTGTTTAAATGGAAAGCATATAAAATTTCTTTAAGACTACTATGTAACTTTCAAACTTAACTATACAGCCTGCAGTAAAAGATGGACAGCCAAATTCTCTGCTGATTTATATCCCTTGCAGCCCCACTGAAGTTTGCACAAAGACTAAGTGCAGGATTTTGCCCAAAGACTATGGCGAAGCTTTTCAAGACATAAAATGGCAGTTAGTTGTTTAACTGTCATTTGCACCTGTGAAAATCTCCTCCCGTATCTTTTAAGATATAAACTTAATCCTAAGATTCATGTTCAAGCTATAAGATGCAAATATTTTAGTTGTAAATCAATCATTCTCATCAGTAATTTTTAACTGACTGACTTTATGCCTCCAGCATATTAATCCTATACTAATATTCCATACTTTACAGTTGATTCTTTATAAAGAAGTTATTGTAATAGCTGCACTGTTAATGAAAAGTGATTCCAAAATTCAAGAGCAGCATGCACACAGTAAATTGTTTGATCTTTAACAACTTGATCTGGTGTATGTGTTGGACTACAGAGTCACTCCACGTGATTGGTGAAAGAAGATCCTGACTTTACCTTTTCCAGATGCTTTGGCAAGTGTTGCTGGCTCCCCAGGGCTTAGTCTGCCCGGATTGTTGCCAAAAATGGACTTCCTGCTTTTTCTTTCCTTTCCTCTGCTAGAGCCAGATGGGTTTAGCGTTGACAGGCCTGTTCCCATAAAAGTAAAATAAATAAGCCAAAAAACATGACCAAGAGGGCATGACATTTTCCATCATTTTCCACGTTATTCTTTGAGGCACTAATACTAAAGTAGCACACAGGACAACTAGCATATTATTCCCAGTAACTGAGTCTAACTATATTTACAATCATCAACACAGGAAAAAAAAATCTTTGTGACATAACTGTTGCCTGAGATTTATTTTTGGCTGGAGAGCAGGAAGTGATTTAAGTTACAGAATAGTCCCAATGACTCTTGTCGGAGAATAACAGAGTTCTCACTTTTTGTTTGGGTACAGCAAGTCAGATACTTTATTTTCTCAAGCAATTGCGTAGAGGGAGAGAGCTAAACAGGTCTCTCAACTGGTAAACAATTACAGCAAGCATTTATACCTTTTGTTACAGACAATAATGAGCAACAGCTGCATTTTGTTTATACATAGGTCATTCTGATATCTTGTTTTGCTCACTAATGTAGACTCTTAGTCTACATTCCATATTATCTACACATTATCTACACAAGGTTGCAACAACTTCTCACACAGTTCTTTCCCACTCGCCTCATACATTCCTCGCTTCTACAAATCTCGCGTTATTAGGGTTACAGTTAGCCTGACTCTTGCTAACGAACTGTCATACATTGCATCCCCTTCCTGTCAGTTCTTTCTCTGCTTCCACAACCCCCCCTTTTGTACTACTAGTACAACAAACATTTTCAAATCTCTATTTGCATTAAGTCTTGGAATTCAGATTCTACTTCAGATGCTTCAACCTTAGGGGTTTTGATTGGATGTAATGACAATGCATGATAAGCATGGACATGAAAGGTATTACTATTCTTACGTCCTTTACAACAACAACAACATACTCCTACACTAGCTAACAACAACACAAGCAATAACATTCCCATAGCGATAATATGATGGGGTTGTTGTACAGTCTTAGTCATAAAACACAATACATCATACTTAGTACATAAGGTGGACACTCTATAAGCTGTATGAAAGGCATACTTTTCAACTTGATATATATTTTGAAGCATGTGAATTTGTCCTTGTACTTCGGAGATTTTCTGAACCTCTGGTAACAGTGAAAGCAAATTTTGAAATCCATCTGGTACTAAACTAGTCCAATTAAAGGGTATCTGGAACCTAAGGGCTACTTGCAAAACTCTATCTGCAGGCCAGTAGATAATATGATTGCCTGCAGTGGTAGTGAGATTAAAATGTTGTCGTGCAATGTGGTGGCATTAATATACACACAGCTATGGAAAAGTAAATGTCCTGTCAGGGTAGTTCCTTGTCCCCTACACTCCCAGCAAACATAATCATGAACAGTGACAACTTCTCCTGGCTTCAGTTTACGTATACACTGAAGCTGTGGGGGTTCTAACGGCCAAAATGTCCATTGACGCCCTAACCCCATCCAAATGTCAGGTGTAATCCCAGGAGCACTGACTAAAAATCGATTGGGCATATCAGGAGGTCTAATTTCCCAGATGTCTCGGTGACTTACCCAATCCCACATGCATCCTCCCCATGGACCCGGCAGGATTCGGTATGTGGGAGCCCACACCCCCCCAACCGGTCCATATGCTTGGAAGGAGCACTGAAAACGTCTGCACTTCCACCCAGAAAGTCTCCAAGTATGTCTCCATGGCCACAGATCAGATGGTACTCCTGATGTGTCTGTAAGGGCAGTGGGCCAACCCTGATGCTCTAGATCATTCCAAATGGCCATTAGCTGGTCATTCAGGAAATCCTGAATTTCTGAACATGCTAGATCCCACTGCAATGCCTTCCCAGCCTCAGTGATATTCAAAACAAATTCTACACCGAACAGTCACAGTAAACTCAGACCTAAAAACTAATGCTACCCATCACATATCCAACTAGTTTTTCAGGTAAATCAAAACATACAAGTATAGCATATCATGGTACTGACACACTGTAGGCAATGACACTATGTGTTCAAATGAACCTGGCAAAAATGACTACATTTGCTGTAAGGACAATCCCAAAGAATCGTTGGGTAATATACGTTGATCCATAAGTCTTTTCCAGTCCATCTTATATTATATTAAAACTAGTATTTATAACTCATATTTCAACCATGGAAAATATTTGTAAGTGTGGAAAATCTTTTAATCACTTAATGATTGTGACTGTTTTGAGATACTCAGATGAAAAGCACTATAATAAATATTATTATTCCATATACATATATTCAAAACAAAACAATCATTAAGGACATGGTCTAAAGTTCACTGAAATCAGTGGATTCCATTTCCACTGATTTAAATTCCTTTCCATTGATTTCAGTGGGTTTTGATCAGATCTAACTGAAATACAAAGTAAAAATACATCAAGGAGTTCTTTTGACATCCGCTCAACACACGAAAGCCATGTGAAGAATGCTATTGGAACTCCACGACATATTTGTAACTTACATTTTTCTTAATTTTTCATTAAAAATTGAAAAAAAATATTGCACCAAAAAATGTAAATTGAAAACTTAAGTTACAATAGAAGAAAATACTGAATTTACATTGCAAATTAACATTTTAACTACTAATTTGAAGCTTAGTAGAAGTTGGATTCTGCCCCACTGAACTCAACCTATTGCAGTTTAGCAGTGAGGTCTCAATCCTTCAAACGCTTTTGCATACTGAATGAAGTTAAGCACATGATTTCAATGGAGCCACTCGTGGCTTCCAAGGTCCACAGCTCTGGGGCAGCCCCTCCAGGCCAGGGCTTCCAGCTTCCTGACAGAGCTGGGAGCCTGAGTTCCTCTGTTTGGCTCCCAGCTCCCCAGCAGGGAGACTGGGAAACATGAGAACTTCAGCTTGACCCAGGAAATCCTGGAAGTGCCCAGTGTTTTCAGATTTCCAGGCTAGCTGGCTCCCTGTGCTGCCTGCTTGGGAGTTGGGCTTCATGGGGAGCCACCTGGCCCCAAAGGCTAGAAGTCCTGGGTCCCCTGGCCTGGGACAGTTCAGGTTGGGGCTGCCCAGGAACCACAGACCATGGGACTCCAAGGGCTGTTCACTGGCAGCAATGAAACTGACAAGAATGTCAGTTTCACTCAGCAGCTGCAGCAGTCCCAGGGATCATTCCTTGTTTAGGAAACGCCATGTTTTGGTGTTTAAAAAAAATTTTTTTTTTTTTTTTTAAGATGTCCAGTTTGCAGGAGATTTCAAAATATCAAAAATTTCCCACAAACTGGGACTCTCTAGTTTTGGCCAGTTCTACCCACGATTAACAAAGGGACACAATGAAGGAAATAAAGATAATATTTTTGTAAAAGGAAGGTGCTATAACAACAAGTACTTCAACTCTAATATCCTGTGTGTTGGCTAGTACCACTGGGAGAATGATCTGTGTTAAACATAGCTGCCTATATTAGAATAATAATCAGTTGCAAAATAAAACTTCAGATTATTTAGGAAGAAGATGGAGCAACTGATAACTCATAGCAGACTTCTGGCCTTTCAACATGTATTTGGCCAGATCCTGGACCTTGATATAGCTCATTTGCACTGCTCCAGCAGTACAAAGTATCTGTAAAACTGGGGTGACTTGTTACATGGTTAATTTCCAGGTGGTGTAGAGGCTGCATAGCCAGCCCTATGCCACCTCATCTGCTTCCCTGACATACGGGGAATGGCCAGAGCACTGATGGCCCGAATGGTCCTTTGGTGGCCATCTGTGGCCAGGAGCAAACTAGAGCAGTGCTAAAGCTGCTCTAAGTTGTGCCTGGGGCCAGCCCAGTCCATGGCCAAGAGCATAAAAGGTGGTACAAAATGGATGTCACCTGGACCCTAGAACTGGGCCCACTGGTGAGTTAATTTTTTCTGGTGTTGGGTCCTTTCCACATTGGAGGATTAAGTAAAGTCTCAAAGGAGGAAAACTTTTGGCAATCAAGCCTTATGTTTCAAGACCTTGTTGTGGAGACAGTCACTGAGGAAACAGACTAACCTGTTACCTAAATTATCTGAAGGCAAAGCAAAACACTAGTGTAAGTTGAGCCCTAGCCACATGTGATGGCTCAGGGGCAAACTGCATCTGTGATCTGTCCCCTAGTCTCTACTTCAGGCACCTTTTCCAAGTGACAGGGCCTCTACCTGCTGCACTCTTCCCACAGTGGCACTCTTTGGATTGGATCAATAGTCAACAACACTCCTTATTCCCACTCTGCTGTCATAGTTACAGGGCCCCTTGAGTGCACCTCTCAGGTGACAGGTTTCTCTGCCTTTCCCTCTCTCTCGGTGGAACTCCATGGCTTTATCACTCCTAGACTGGATCCCTGGGTGGCAACTCCCTGATTCCAACTGTGTTAAGATGACAGACACAGCTGTTATTGGTCCCTGCAAGACACTTCTCTCTGGAAGCCTGTGACCACTGGCTGATTAAGGTGACTCAGCACAGCTCCTTCCAAAGAGACATACTGTCCATTCACAGAATGTTACATAGCAAACAGAGGAAAAGGTTAAAACCACAAAAGGTCTGCCTGCCTGGGTCCTGTCTATAGTTCATCACCTCTCTCAAAGCATAAGTGAACCCAACTGCCACCGACACATCCCACAGAGCCCTGCTGCATGCTCTGCCTATCTCAGTCTCTCTTGCAGAGTCTCTCCCTTAGCATCTACAAACAACTCATTCTCCCTTTCTCTCTAGGCAGGGATTTTTCAGTGGAGCATTGTTCTTTTGATCTTAAACTCTGGCCGTGGCAAAACAGCAGCATAACATTCGGGTGGCACCTAGGAAGAGCATCTTCCTCATTTGGTAGCTCTGCCATTGCCCCCTGGAAGTTGTTTATCCAAAGCTTAGCTGTGACCATGGTGTTGTTTCCTGGCTTTTCCTAACGACCCCTTTTAATTCAACTCCATGTAGTCAGACAGGTAAAACGAGCAGGTAAAATGAGGTAACATTCATAATATTCATAGACATAATACAGACATTCTTGTTCTCCACACCATAAACAAATCAGAACAGATAACATGCTTTCATGAATTAGAGGAGGGTACTATAATAAGTGCCAATCGACATGAGCTTATGGAAAATATATGTTATCAAACTCACGATCTCTTTTTTTGATGAGATTACAAATTGGGTTGATAAAGGTAACAGTGCTGATGTAATATACTTAGACTTCTGTAAGGCATTTGAGTTGGCACCACACAACATTTTGATTAAGAAACTAGATCAATACAAGTTCAACATGGCACACATTAAATGGATTAAAAACTGACTAACTGATAGATCTCAAAATGGAATTGTAATTGGGGAATCATCGTCAACTGGTAACATTTCCAGTGGGGTCTCACAGGAATCAATTCTTGGCCCTATCCTGTTTAACATTTTTATCAATGAGAAGGAAGAAAACATGTTTGTTTTAGGATGTGTAAACAGGGGAATATCCAGTAAAAGTAGGGAGGTTATATTACCGCTCTATTTGGCTTTGATGCAACCAATACTGGAATACTGTTTCCAGTTCTGGTCATCAGAGCTGATTGCTCCAAAACTATAGTTACTATCTGTTCCTTGAGAGTACAGGTTGTTGACCAGGGCACTGCATCAGGCAGTGTTCAAGTGTTAGCCTAGATCTTCACTTTCACATTTGGAGTAATTCCCCTAGCTTTCACTTGGTCATATGGTCACCAGGTCTGGTGTCCACAATTCAAGAAGGATGTTGATAAATTGGAGATGGGTCAGGGAAGAGCTACAAAAATGATTAAAGAATTAAAAACATGCCTTATAGTGAAAGACTCAAGGAGCTCAATCTATGTAGTTTAATGAACAGAAGGTTAAGGGATGACTTGATCACAATTTAGAAATACCTACAGAACAGAAACTTGATAATAAAGGGCTCTTCCGCCTATCAGACAAAGGAACAACATGGCTGGAAGTTGATGCTGGACAAATTCAGACTAGAAATAAGTTGCAATTTTTTAACAGAGAGTGTAATTAACCAAAATTACCTAAGGGTTGGAACAATTTCCTAAGGGTTGTTGTGGATTCTCCTTCGCTGAAAATGTTATAATCAAAATTGGACTTTTTTCTAAAAGATAAACTCTAGTTTAAACAAGAAATAATTCAAGGAAATCCTCTGGCCTGTGTTATACAGGAGGTCAGAAGAGAGATGATCACAGTGGTCCCTTCTGGCCTTATGATCTAAGATTGGCTTCCTCAGAAAGAGCCAAATCATAAGTGCAAAACACAAAACAAGTAAAAGGGGCCAGAGGAAAGAAATCTTCTCTTTAGACTATATAGCAACAGCAGAGCCACCTTGCAGCCACTCCTGCTACTTCAGGACTACATTACCCCCACCCTTTCCCAACTTTTGCGTCCATTCCCCTCTCCGGAAGAAACTAGTCAGTAGATCCACATAATTATGGATCCACCAGCCTTGTCCCCTGCTCCAACCCCAATATCCTCTAAGGCCTGTGAAGTGTTTCCAGCTTTCTTTCCCCTTGCTGCACAGTGGAATCACATCAGTTGCACAGTGGTCAGGGACTCTATGTCCACTAAGAGAAGGGCAGGATTTTTCCCAAAGGAGGGGGCATATAAACGTTAACTTGGGAAAATAGTCTTTATAGGTTCTAGCTATGCCTATAAAAGTGTCCTCCCTGTGAAAGAAACTGATTTTCTTATTTGTTCTAATTAAGTTTTGAATTAAAACAAAGGAGAAATTTAATTATGGCAAGCGAGTATTTATTTTCTAATTGAATTTTAGGAACATTTTAGAAAGTCAGGAATTTGTGTATTAAAATGTTTTGAGTAATTGAAACTGTATGAAAGATGGAAAATACTACTCTTTGCTCAGAAGAGAATAATGTTTGACTTGAAAGACAACTGGAATTACTTCACTGCAGATTATATTAAGGGGACACCTAAATTAAAAATCACCAATCTTATTTTTTAACTTGCCGTTGTTACAAGTTACACCTAACATTCATAAAGAGATTAGAGAAATGTTTTTCTCTAATTTTTCAATTTGTTTCCCTTGACTTTGTGTAAATTAATTTCAGATTATATTTCTTTTTGTATTAAATCCTAATGTGCAATAGTTGCCAATATTTCTGTAGAGAACTGTTCTACTAAAGAAGATGAATTCTCATTTCAACAAACTATCAATAATGAACAGTAAATTAGCAATTTAAAACACGAGTTAGTATACAGAATGTACAGTATATTAGCCAAAATACGCTCATCCTCAGTGTTCTGTTCTGAGCAAATAAAAACAAGTAATCTCAATTTCAGTTCCTCCACCTCCTACTGTTTTCCAATCCCTATCTCTCCACCACTACAGAATGAAGCCCTTCCTACATCTCTATCCTCCTGCGGATCGCTGCTACATGCCTATAATGGGTCATTTTCTTCCTGCCACCCATCCACCTTACCTGGGCTGCAGGCCTGCTCTCCAGATGTTGTCTACGCCTGGTTCCATGCCAGTTTCCCTTTTAGCCTCATCCCCAATATGACCTCTCTCTCTCTCCATTCCTCAGCTGGTGTCTAGCCCAATTACTGGGTCACCGGGGATGTAGATAATAATGTCAGGGGTGCAGGTGAGAGGGAAGGCTTCTGGCAGTGGTGAGACAAGCTAAGTTGGAACTTATTCTTAAAGAGTTCTGACCTGCTCTGCCTCCCAGAGGCTGGAAATTCTTCTTCAGACCTGGCACAGCAGCTCCTTAGGTGAAATTCCAATGAAAATCCTTATGAAATAGCTTGTTCTTAGTTATCATTCAGATAGGAATTAGCCAGTTTACTACAGTTTAAAGATTGGAGTGCTTTTTTCCTCCATGACAAACGCAGCACATAGAATCATCAGCCATCATACAGAATCCATAACCACAAAAAGGCATGTTCCCCACATATTACAGTTTGAATTCTGCAGTTACAATTAGATCACTGTAATGTTCCAAATATTTAGAAAATGTAAAGCAATAAAGCATACTTACCAGGGAATTTCACAGCTTGGCAATAGATGACAAGATCTGAGAGCTCTGGTGCTATCTGTCTACTTTCCTTCTTATTTTGTGGAAGATAAAATTCTTCACCCAGTTCCATGTCATAAACCTAAGTGACAATTCAAGTGATGTATATACAAAAGGTTTGAAAATGAAAGCATTCTAGCATACCTCATATACACCCTCGATGTGGCTTTATCACATTCAGCACACATGATTCTGTATCCTCACATAATGGATTTATGCATGCATCTATTTTTCCCATTCATTACCATATATTAGTATCATTTGTATTGCAGTAGTACTCAAAATACACCTAGATAACTTTAAAAATCCAGCCCTAAGTTACTTCTGACTAATAGCAGGAGTGAGATCTCAGCAACTCATTTGCATTCAACAAGATGCTATTCAGTGAAGACAAGTGCAAAGTACTACACTTAGGAAGGAAATACCAAATACACAACTACAAAATGGGGGATAAATGGCTAGCTGCTGGTGCTGCTGAAAAGGATGTGGTGGTTATACTGGATCAAAAACCGAATAGGAGTCACTGTGATGCACTTGCGAAAAAGGCTAACATTCTGGGTTGTATTAACAGCAGCGTCCTATGTAAGACATGGGAGGTGATTATCCCACTCTACTCGGCACTGGTGAAGCCTAAGCTGGAATATTGTGTTCAATTCTGGGTGCCAGACTTCAGGAAAGATGTGGACAAATTGGAGAGAGTTCAGAGAAGAGCAACAAAAATGACAAAGGGTTTAGAAAACCTGACCTATGAGGAAAGGTTAAAAAAATGGGCATATATAGTCTTGAGAAAAGAAAACTCAAGGGGGACCTGATAACAGTGTTCAAATATGTTAAGGGCTGTTATAAAGAGCATTGTGATCAATTGTTCTCCATGTCTAATGAAGGTAGGCCAAGAGGAATTAATATGTAGCAAGGGAGATTTAGGTTAGATATTAGGAAAAACTTTCTAACTATAAGGGTAGTTAAGCTCTGGAATAGGCTTCCAGTGGAGGTTGTAGAGTCTCCATCATTGGAGGTCTTTAAGAAAAGGTTAGAGAAACTACCTTAGCACTGGGGGCTGGACTTGATAATTTCTCAAGATCCCTTCCAGCACTACATTTCTATGATTCTGACGACGATGTCTTAAGCCCATGTCTCCTCAAATACACTCATTCTCCACCCACACCCTCCATGTCATTCTCTACACTATTTTTTTTATCCTGCACTCTTGAAAGCAGGAAACCAAGCATATGGAGGGCTTGAGACTTACTACCAGTCAGTATGAGGGTTCATACCTAGACCAGATATCCCAAAGAATGCAACACCTGATCTGGTAATTTATTTAAGTGACCAAATAAATGGGAGTTCAGCTCGTGAAAATATGGCACTAGTACTTTACCTTACTTGTGCCCCCATGTAGCCTCTGATTACACTTGTGGAGTGCACAGGGTCGGCTCCAGGCACCAGCTAAAGAAGCAGGTGCTTGGGGCGGCCAATACCAAGGGGCGGCACTCCGGCCGCTACTGGGGCGGCACGTCCGGGTCTTTGGCGGCAATTCTGCGGCGGGTCCCTCACTCCTTCTCGGAACGAAGGACTTGCCACTGAATTGCCGCTGAAGAGTGGAGCGGTGTGATCGTGCTGCCGCGGCTTTTTTTTTTTTTTTTTTTGACGCTTGGGGCGGCGGAAAACCTGGAGCCAGCCCTGGGAGTGCAGCAGCCTTGCAATCCCTGCTCAACACGACAAAGAATAACAGTATTCCTTTATATATTAAGGAATCACCAGTCAAGACCCTGAAGGGAGGCTTTCCATCCTACACTTTATTTTTAACCCCTTTTTATACATGTTAATCCATAGATAGGGAGCTTCATTCAGTGTAAAGCAGAGGTGTGTGATACTTTCTGTTCATAAAGACAAAATGACTTTAAAAACCAGTTTCTCATTTTACTTTTTGTAAATTTTACTAAAAGCAAAATGCAATTCTGCCAGTTAACTGAAAAAGTTGTACCACATAATATGTGCATAGTTGAGAGGAGGGGAAGGTTGATGTTCAAGTTGAACTTCCAGCAATAATCTGGTAGATGAGACTCCCTGTGTGCATGGGAATAGCTCACATTAACAATGGCTGAATGTATGATAATCATTAAGGAGAGACCTACACTATCTGTTACAATCTGAATCTCATCAACCAACAGCTGTGAGACTTTGTCACAACTGGAAAAAACCTGAGAGAGAAAGACAGTACAACAGCTGGAAGAAAATTCCATAGAAGGTCATCTTTAAATGAGCGAAAAATTATTTCAAATTCATATATTTTTGTTTTGTTTTGTTTGTTTGTTTATTTGAAATACTAGTGCAGATATTTTTTCACATGCTCTTGATGGAAAACAAGAAGGGTGGGAAACTGCGGGATAGAATACAGCTGCCGGGGACAGTGAATACGCAAGGAGAGATGTCTGGAGATTTTAGCAAAATCGCACAAAAAGAAAATGGGTCAAAGGGGCTGTTAAAAATGGGATGAACCAGCTGAAATAGTGAGAAAAAATACATGCAATCTTATGAATAAAATTCATTTTTGCTTGTAAAAGAAGACAAGGCACATATACATGCATCAGCACCATTTTTCTTCTAGTAAGCACCCATGGGGTTGCTTTGAGGTAAAGGGAGTCAGTTTTAATCACCTATCTGAGGCATTGTTTTACAAAGAGTATTGTCACATAAGCAAGCAAAATGGTAGAAGTTGGATTGTTAATGTGACAAATTAATGCAGAAATTGACATTTCTTATGTTGAGCCAGTTTATATGCAGCCAATATACTGGTGTACTTTTTTTTAACTGACTTGAAGTTTTGTAATTTTGTCAGGTTTGTTTCCCAGTGTTTATTTTTTAAAATCAATTTTTGAAAAAAGTTATTAATTGGTGTTGTTTTCACTTTAGATTGAAAGAGAAAGATGCACATAGAAATTCATGATATTCAATACCTTGCAGGAATATACTAAGTGTGGATTTCTCTATGTATCTCATAATATTAATATATGTATAAAATACATTATGATCTAAGAATTACTGATTAACAACACAAAACTCACATAAACCTGGATCATTAATAAAAAAGATTGCGCAGATCTGTTCTAAATAAATGTATATTATCTTGATTTAAAACAGTATAAGATATACCTTTCAGGAAAAAGTCTAAAAGAGATTTTTCTTTTAAACTCTACTACGAAAACTATCATTTTAAATAACTATAGTGATAAATGTATTGGTTTTCTTAAATGCATTGTGGACAGTGGGCCATATTTTGTCTTTGTTCTGTGCACAGAGCTCCCATTGAACTAAATGGAAACAGTAAAGATGGAGACAGTATACAGTGCACCCAAGCCTGGAAAAATTTTCTGATGAGCCCAGCATTTTGCATATATCATGAGGAGTGTGTGTCAAAAATGAGTTCACAGTGAAGTACAATAATATCTGGTAAATTGCTTAGGTTTGGAAAAAAAGTAATCTTCAAATCTGATAAACAGTGTGTGTTCCATGGAATTATGAAAGTCATGAAGATAAAGCATAAACTTTATAAGCTGCAGTTAAGTACTCTGCAAAACCATATGGTATTTATCAACAACGATTGCTTTTTATATAAAAACTCAACTTACTTTCATAAACATCAGTTATAGCACTATACATATGGAGCATAATCACAGAAAATCAAGACTTGTATAATTCTGATAGTGAGATGGACAGTCTTTTATAAAGAGCAAGGGCAGGGAAGCTTAAACTGCATCAACAGAATTTGAAACGAGTGAATTACTATAATTGTGAATGGACACTGTACTTCATTGCTAGATATGAGCCTGACTAAGAATTTACTCTCAATCCATAATAGCAGTGTTGGCCAGGAGCTGACCAAGGAACCACTGTGACTGAGTCACAGTATGCTTCCTGACTCCATTCTTCCTCTGATGCAGCATGGCTGTCTCCTGCAGTGGGCAGGGATGTAGCAGGGGACAGCCTCACTGAGAACAGAACTCAGTTTAGATTATGTTTTTGAAACCCTTACCTTTTATCAACTTTAGCAATCTTTTTAATATTTTAGAGTTCTTTATTAGGTCACTTTGCCACCACATGCTAATGAGTTAATAAATAATATATTCCCACCTACAGTACAACCAACCAACACTGTGTAGATTATCCAGATGGAATTTAACAACAACCTTCCATTAAAGTCAACTCTTTTGTTTTATACTATTTTTCTCTGCTAGTAAGGTTAGGGACTTGATCTGATGCCCATTAAAGCCAGTGGAAAGACTCCCATTGACTTCAGTAGGCACTGGCTCACAGCCTACAAACTTCTTTGCTTATTTTTACTGCTGTTGCATACTGGTTTAATGAGTTCAACGTTGTGTCCACAATGACCTCTGAATCCTTTTCTTGACCTGGATGCTTGTTGCATTTACCTTATCTTCCCTAGGATGGTTCCCTGCTTCCAGTTATTTGTCTACATTAAAGTGCATTTGCCATGTGTTGGTTCAGTCACCTGAGCAAATCAAATCCTTTCGAAGCTGGATCCATGTCAAAAGGTTTGGGGGAGAGGAAAAAAAAGTACTACCTTTCCTTTATTGTTATAAGTAATGCAATCAGTCTTCTTTATTCTCTTGGCAGTTTCTTCATTATATTCAAATTGCAGTTTATCACTGGATGATTTAGTCTCAGGTCGGTCTTCCAGAATGTTATCTAGAAATTAATTGATTTTAGATAAACAATATGCAGGCCAAGAATTAACTGCAAATTTTATTTCAACTACAAGTTGTTTTGGATAAAGGACCTAGTTACATGTCTGAATAACCAACTGGCAAAAATAACTTATTTACTGGTTAAAGCATTTCTCCTTCATTGGTAATATTCTTTTTTAAGAATAAGGATTGATTCTTGTTAGCATGTGGCTCTTCTATGAAACCTTCTACACTGTCTTTTTTGTTCAGTAGATATTAAAACCAGAAAATCATTTAATAAATATGAGTTAAAATATTTCCACATCCTCTTTGGCAAATCAAGAAACAAAGGCTTGCCACCGAAAGTATTTAAGAGGTGTTATTCTTGAATATTCAAGAATTGCAGAAGTTTATCAGTTAATATAGTTTAGTCAGTAATCAGTAATTTTAAAAGGTATCTTCACATTTCAGACTTTGATTCATGCTGCCCCCACTCACATACACACACTTCCTATATGCTTGAGGCATTCTCCTCCATTAAAAAGAATGCCTCATGTACGTGCTAGAGACTTACCCTGATTGGCTCCCCAAATCAGAGTGATTTATAAGAATGGAAGAACTGCCACAATGGGAAACATTTTTTGTTTACTCTGGCTCTCTATACAGTGTGTGTGTGTGTGTGTGTGTGTGTGTGTGTGTAAATAAATAAACCTTCTAAGTGTCTCAGTAGCTTATTAAATATAATTTTTGGACCACAGTATCTTTATGCATAAACAGTGTTTCATATGCAGCTTTCCAATGATACCTGACCAGTAAATAAGGCATAATGACACCATTTGAATGCATTTTAAATTAATACAAAGGAGGTACACCTCTACCTCGATATAACGCTGTCCTTGGGAGCCAAAAAATCTTACCGCATTATAGATGAAACTGCGTTATATAGAACTTGCTTTGATCCACCAGAGTGCGCAGCCCCGCCCCGCCCCCCCGGAGCACTGCTTTACCGAGTTATATCCGAATTTGTGTTATTTCGGGTCACGTTATATCGGGGTAGAGGTGTACCATATATTTATACTATATACTTTTAACAAGTTGGAGACACAGTGCTGAAATTCATGCAGTTAAAATGCTCAACCAAATGGCTTTTACCTTCCTTGCTGTTAGGAGCAGGAGAAGCATTAAGGACATCAGCTACAGGAAAACAGAGTCAGAAAGGGGATAAGAGTAAAGGAAATTAAGAAATACAGCCAGAAAAAATGAAAATTAAGTGTCAATTTTAAAACTATGAGCATTATGCAAAACTACAGCATTGCTAAAGGAAAATAAAACTGAAATCTTCTAAAGTTTTCAGATGATTATTATTTAGATTAGTTCTGCCAAATATTATAATAGTTAAAACAAACAAACAGTGTAACCATTTTATTAAAGCAGTAAAGCATGCCACAGGTTACTTTTTGTACTGCACTGTGCACAATTGTTTGTTGATTTCAGATTTTTCCAGCCTTCTCCTAACGGAACATGTTTCAAGTACAACTTACAGTGGGCAACTTGCAATTTCTTCCTGGCCAATATGTAAGAAACATCTGCACTTGAAGAGCATATTTTCATATATGCCACCTGAAGATTCTTCTACAGAGGGAGAATCTTCAGGTAGACAATTAAGCAGTCTTTCCAGCTATCTTGTACTGCTGGAACAGCACAAAGCCGATGGAGCAGGCACCAAAATCTGACCCACTTTCATATTTATCTTAGGAAAATCCAAAGCAGTCATTAAGTCTCCTTATTAAATTTTATTTTGTTAATTTCATCATCACCAACAGAGAAACAAAATAAATTTCATTTGTGAAAGATTTCGCTGTGCCACTTAAACACAAGTCTGGCACTACAGGAAGTGTCGAGCTTTGTGCCTTTCATAAACTTGGTCACCTGTGTAAAGGCCAGGCACTATCTGGCCTTAGGTTTTAATAAATGAAATATTTTATTCTTTTGCCAGGTCTCTGGGTGGTATGAATTTGGCTACCAGTTGTGATGTATCTTGACATGACACATTTTCTGACAGTTATCAGTTATGAAACTAACATCACTTTTGAATGTCTTGGGCCAATTCATTCCTAGTGTAACTTCACTGACGACTTCAGGAACATGTCCAGGCCACAGACTGCAAGTGTATATGCTGCGCTCAGTAGAAGGATGTTCTGCACCTGTTCTGAATACTGTCCCTGAAAAATTGTTTGAATGTTGGCAACATGATTTAACTCTTAGCACAAAAATCACTAGTTTAACTTATTAACAACAGCAATGGCATGCTTGCAAACATATATGGACACTTAGGGCTACATTGTAACTATAAGATCTGACCTAAACAAGTGCCTCTGTGATTTCGCCCTGCCCCATGAGCAGTCCAGGAAGAACACAGTCAAAATCTCCTTCACAATTTCCCCACTCCTCTAGTGAGGGAGCAAACTTTGCCAGGCCTATACCCAGTGCAACGTAGGCCACCAGACACCCAGGTACATCTATGCTATCAGGAGCTCTTGGGAGATGGAGCCAAGGATCTGCCCACTCCCTGCCCGTTTGTGTAGGCCATGGGTTGTAGTGGCTCTGCAAAGCCTGCTTCCCCTCCTGTGCTGCTATCTATGAAGCGTACGGCAAGACGGTAAGGGAATGCCTTATGCCCCCTTACCTCCTTATACCACTGCACAAGCCAGGCCACTCTTCAGCCCTTAGGGAAAAGGAATTAATATGAAGAATGCATGATCTCTGAGGTGTTAAAACCCTCAAAGAAAACAGGGTTTATGTAAAATACAGTTCTTTGTAATTCATTTATATACACTAGTACTTTGATGTAATTTAGAATGAATATGTTATCACTCATTATAAGTGATACTAGATTATATAGTAACAAATACATAAAATGTGGAACAGCCTAATTTTCTCATGCAAATGTCTCACTACATCTTGTTTGATCTATTCTAACTGAAGCAAATTTAAACAGTTAAAGTCAGTCATAAGTATGGAGAAACTTTATAAACCAAGAATTCTCTAAATACAGCATTGAAATATATATTTCTTTACCATCAGAGAGAGATTCATAGTCATAGTCATATTCATCCTCTTCATCCTCCTCCTCTTCATTATTAGTGGTGGGGTTACCAGCATTGCCACCATTACTGGCCTGGGCTTGCATGTATGCCAGTTGGTGAGCCTACAGCATTAAAATAATATTTAAAGCTCTCAAATACTGAAACAGCAAAAAAGTTCTATTTATAATATTCTTATTCATATGTATCTGTTCAGAGTCCTGTTTTTATAGGAGGAAAAATAGCTATTCTAAAGGCTTGTCTACATGGGAAGGTTATACCAGTAAAAAGTGAAGAGTGAATTTAAGCATCTGTAGCTACACAGGTATAAATCCCCATGTGCCCATTGTTAGTCCAATATAAGAGTTTATGGTTTAGTTTATGGCACTTTGGAATCAATTTAGACAAAACAAAAAAATCCAAAAAACATACAGGGAGTTAATGGTTTAACTATAGTGGTTGACTGGTGAAACTTTCCTGTGTACAGAAGCCCCAAAATTCCTCTCATCTCCCAAAATAGTTTATTTACTGTTAACTATGATTCCATGAATGGTTTTAAATCTCCTACTGTAATCTCTGAAAATCCATGTAACATTGATACCTGCATTACAGGAGTTGTTAATAAACTAGAATTTCAAGGAAGATCTGACTGTGAATCATATATAATTGTCCAGCTTTTTGGATTATTTACTGGGCTTACATTTACCCAAAGTGAAAAGGGAGTCATTGTGGATCTATAGATAAGATCACACTTTTGAAAAAGTCCAGTTCCCACTAAATAATCCATTTCACTACATGGGATGTTTGCCATTAATTCCAAGCCGTTGGTAACTGGAACACAGTTATTGTTCAGTCCCTGTGGAAAAAATGAAGGACGGGCTGAGCTGTATAGATTAAAATAAAAGGGATTGTAATGTAAAGGAAGCTTGCATTGTTGTTGCTCACATGGCACTCGATTTTCTTGTAAAGAGAAAACTCCAACTTCTGTAAGAGCATTACATTCATTGCAAAAATTAAAAGATGGAGGAGATGTCACAAAAGGATATATACATAAATATTAAGAACTACTACATATTTCAGGAAAATTTTCTACCTATCATATGGAAATACAGTATAATAAAAATGGTAAAATTCTGCCATGAAATGAAATCAATTGGTAACAAGAGAAAAAAAATATTTGTTTAAAGCACCTGGCTTGAATATGGTAAAAATACAGCAGAACTTTGCTAAATCCAAAAATACAACAAAATATTACAAAACAAAATGCACACACACAAAAACCTTGAGGTGGTCTCTCCCCATTTCTGAGCAAACATTTATTAGCGAGGTGTTTGGTAAGACTACATTACTTTTACCAAATATACTACATTGTGCTTACTACGTATCATAATTAAAACTAAAAAACATGAAAATAAACCAAGTATTTTTGTAATTATATATATTTATATTATGTTGATATATAATCCACAATGGATTTCCCAGTGTGCATTAGACTGGTTCTGTTGTCCATGTTACATTGGCAAAACTTTAACTACTATTGTTTGTTTCCAAACCACAACTTAAATCTCAGAATGTTTGTTAGGGAAATAATTTACCTTTTGTTTTAAAATATCCACTGGAGTTTGATGGGCTTTGAGTTTTTTGTTTTTCAGCAGCACTTTTCTTCTCAGTTGGTCCGGTGAAGGGAGCATTGGATCATCAGAGAAGTCACTCTCAAATAAAAACTTAGTTACCAGCTTATCTCCAAATACATTCTGAAATATTGAGAATATGTGAGATATCATGAAAAACAAAATCCCCAGCCATGCACTCTGAATAATATAATACACTATGACTAACCTTAAAAATTTCAGCCATCTTGCGTTGCTGAGGCAATGAACAGTGGTTCTCTATAGATATGATGATTGGCATATCAGAGGTGATAAAGGCACTGCGATCAATAGCTTCAACTACATCCTATAAGAACCAAAATGTAACTGTTACAAGAGTTAGAATTCTCTAATTTGAAAAGCATAAAATATTTATAGTTGATTATTTCCAAGTTTTGATTCCATGATTCAAAATACAATATGACTTTATATTGTCTGTTGCTATTCCATTTAGGGTTGTCTGCATTGCATCTGAGATTGTGCTTTCCAGCACGGGCAGACAGACACACGCTAGTTCTGCTTGAGCTAACACACAGTAAAAATAGCAGTGTAGCTGAGGTTGCATGGGCCGCAGCTTGGCCTAGTCATCCGAGTACGTACCTGAGGGTCCAGGCATGTTTGTACTCAGGTGGCTAGCTCAAGCTGCTGCCTGTGCTACCCCTGGCTACTCTTCTATTTGTAGTGTGCTAGCTTGAACATTGCTAGCATGTGCCTGTCTACCCGTGTTGGGAAGAACGCTCCCATGTGCAATGTAGACATATCCACACGCTGGGGCCTAGGCCCTAGGACCCTGCGAGGTGGGAGGGTCCCAGAGCTCAGGCTGTAGCCCAAACCTGAATGTCTACACCGCAGTTAAACAGCCCCTTTAGCATGAGCCCCACAAGCCCACATCAGCTGGCACAAGCCAGCCACGGGTGTCTAATTGCAGTGTACACAAACCCTTGGTGACTTGTTTTCTTCTAGAAGGATAATTGTTGCTTCATAAACTGGTATCTTCATACAAGTGAACAAGTTATTAAACTTCTTTCTTGATTAATTTATATTTTCTGCAAGAAATTGTCAATATACCTTAAAAGGGATCTTAGTAGTGAGTGTATGTCCATGATAAATGATAGGCATCCCATCATCACCATCCCAGCAGTCTAATTCCACACTCCTACAGCCTTGTAAGAGAACCTGTAACACAAATGAATAATAGATCCCATGTGAAAAGCAACTGTACAAAAACAAAGAGAGAAAAGGGGTTGCAATGCTAAATGGCAGCTGGGGGAAGTTGCTGCCCATGAAAGCTACTTTATTGTGGTGTGAAAGGAAACCATGGAAGCTACTATCCCAAACAATTGGATCCCACACAGAGAGAGAGAGAGCAGGAAAATGAAGAATATTAGAAAGCAAGAATTAAAAAGAAAGGTTCCTATTAGAAATAGAAAGAAATTTCAGAAGCTACCAGCATTGCTGCTGGAGGCAGAGAGAATGGGAATTTGGTTGCTGAGTGGGGTCAGCTGCCTCCCATGCAGCTCCTCGTGCCCCAGATAGAAATGCCCAGTTGAAAAGGAATGCCCCAGATAGGAATGCCCAGTCGAAAAGGGTCCCTGGCGGCTCTGGTCAGCACTGCTGACCGGGCCATTAAAAGTCCAGACAGCGGCAGCAGGTGAGGAGGGGGCCTGCAGTAGTTCTTTCTGTGGAGCTCATGGGCGGTGCGAGCCCTAGTGGGCAGAGGGCGGATCCCAGCGGAAGGCCTGGGAAAGGCACCCGGCTGCAGGCTGAGGCCAGCAAGGTTAACCCTGGGCAGCAGCCACCGTGATGGCCGGGGGCTCCCTGCAGAGCGGGCATTGTGGCCTTTAGGAAGTACCTTCAGCCCTCTCCCTGCCCGGCCTGCTGCTCCCCGGTTGGTGGGAGCGGAGTAGGCCCAGCTCCCCAGGGCCTGCATGCAGCCGGCGGCAGGGAAGGGGGCCAGGGCAAGCTGCAACCGCCTGCCCCAGGCCCAGTAGCCTGCTCCACGGGGGCTGCTGCACCGGGCTTGTCTTGGGACCATGCAACCAGCTGCACCCAGCTGGTCAGTCTCCTCCCAGGGTGAATGGGCTGTGCAGAAGCATGGGGCTAAAGTTGGGCTGCTCTCCCCGGGAACGGGTCCCAGCAGAGTCGGGCAGCAGTTGGGCATGAGGCCCCAGCCAACGGCCAGGCTGGGGGGTCACTGCAAACGGCAGGGGGAGACGGAGGGGGCCTGCAGCAGCGCTCTCTCTAGAGCTGCTGTGATTTGGGCTACGCTGGGGGTGCAGCGAGCCAGGGGCAGCATTCCCCCGCCCCGCATTCCAGAGAACAGGAAAAACTTTTGTCCTCGGTGTGCTGGCCGAGCTGTGTGTCCAGGATTCATGGCAAATAGAACAGCCTCTGAGATCCAGGAAAAGCCAGGGCAGCACTGGTGCATCTGCTATTTAAGGGGCCGCCTAACAAAAGCACCTGCCGGAGCCCCTGCAAACCCACCAGGCAGAGTTTCCCGGAGCCCACACCCCGAACCTCCTCCTGCGCCCCAACCTCCTGCCACAGCTCAGAGCACACTCTGAATCCCTTGGCCCCAGTCTGGAGCCCCCTCCTGCATCCCAAACCCCTCACCCCCAGCCCCACCCTAGAGCCCACACTCCCAGCCGGAGCCCTCACCCCCTCCCGCACCCCAATCCCTTGCCCCAGCCTGGTGAAAATGAGCAAGTGAGTGTTGGAGGAGGGGGGATGAAGTGACTGGGGGTGGGGTCTCAGGGAAGGGGCGGGGCAAGGGTGTTCGGTTTCCTGAAATTAGAAAGTTGGCAACCCTAGGCCCAGGGTACCTCTGTGATGCTCTGCTAACAATTTCTCCCTCAAAAGTCTTCTTAAACGATCTCTACTTAGGGCTTTCTTGTCCATTCATCACCCTTCTAAGGGGGTTTGAGTTTATTCACATAAATAAATCTCCAAGATAAAACTCAAAGTCTGAAAACACAGTGCATCAGTTTTACCCTCGTCAGGTCACTCCCAGGCTTTTCCTGCCTGTAGTCTCGGGCTACAACTACACACAAAACAAAACAAAACAAAACAAAAAACCACAGCAGCAAGTTTCAGAGCCCAGGTTAACTGACTCGGCCTTGTGTTATGGGGCTAAAAATAGCAGTGTAGACATTTGGGCTCGGGCTGGAGCCTAGGGTCTGAGACCCTTCCCCTTACTGCGTTTCAGTTGATTGGGGCTCCAAGACTTATTGCTGTGGGTCTTTTTCTGCTGAGTAGACATACCCTCAGTAGGGAAACCCCATGTCCCAGGTCTTTCTGCTGGAGCCTGCTCACTCACAGCAGTCTCCAATTCACCCTATTACCAGGCCTTCTTGCCTAGAAATTTTCCTGCTTTAGCAGGCCACCCCCAGGCCCTACTTTGCTGGAATTATATGTCTCTGGCTTCCAAACCCCCTGGTATCAAGGTCGTCACTGCAGAAGCCTGACTGCCTTCATTTCTTCCTGCAGTTCCCTGAGCTTCCCCCTTCACTGTAACCATCTGCTGCCCTTTATAAGGAATCACCTGATCCAACCCAGGTTTGCCTCTTATCAGGATTGGATAGCCCCAAACTCTCCAGCCCATAAAGGCAAGACACCCTATCACAGTTGCAAAAAGTGTCCCTTAAAGGGCCAGCAGCTTACACTGGGAGAGAAATATTTACATCTTCCTGCCTGCAGAAACAAGTGGGTATTTAAACAGATATTTTCTCCAGGATGGAGGAGGGCCACTGCAAGAGAGCCTTCTCGGCTACAACTTTTTATTGGAAGTAAAGCTTTCTGGAATCAGTATAACTTCAGGTAAAGTACATATATGATTAGGGTGAAATTCACTTATCCTGCTCAGAGCCTTAGACAATGGAAGTACATTATGTCAGTGGAGGGGGCACCCTCACCCCACCCAGGAGAACAGGGCTGCAATAGTGTTCCCATCTCACCTTATGGACCATTATTTTAGCCTACACACTGCTGAAAGAGTGCCTGCAGCTCCTTCACATCACTTTGGGTGTTACGGACAATGGATCCCTACCCTACCTCCCCCAACACTGCCATCCTGTGGGAGGCTGTCACAGAAACCTACTCCACAGCACCACTATGCAGCCACTTTACTCATGACTTTCTCACACACAGTCCACCTCCCCACTTCCAAACACATAAACAAAGGGCTGAAGTAGCACAGAGGACCTTGTGTGAGCCTGTCACACTTGAATGGATTTCTCTTTAACATGGTGAATAATAAAAATCCCAATCACAGGAAGTTTGATGTTTTCTGTAACATTTGTTGAATACACATATCAAAAATATAGACCCAAAACCCATAGAGAGAAATCAGTCTTTCCAGGTTCATCACCAATTAGACACAGGGTCAGATAAATAGTATAATATTCCTAGAAGTATATTGTCAGGAGTGATGTTTTCATTAGAAATTTGTCTTTTCAGTACAATGTACAATATCTGAATGGTGTCTTTGACATTTAAATGAACTAACATATTAGATCAGTCTTTCCTGTGGGAAAGTCTAATTTTAGTAAGTTAGGTCAGAATGACTAGTGTCTAAATGCTATGAATCTCAAACTAAACCCATTTTTTGCCTTAGTAAAAGCATTTGAACACAACTGTGCACACAGGCAGCTTTCCCACACATCATGTTTTCCTACATTTTACAAGCAGGGGTTCAGAACATTTGGGTTTTCAAAGCAAAAAGGCCATGTTTCTGTGACTTCTTAGTTAAACAAACAAGTTCATGCTGAAAACTATGCAATGATATAATTCTGTATACCTGGCTGTAAAGTTCTACTGATGATTCTCCTTTAAGCTGATGGCCTGTGAGGTATGTATTGTGTGAAGACTCAATGTAATAATATGACAGCGGTAGTTGTAACTCTTCAATATTCTCTTGTGACTCATCATTTTTTGAGGCAAAATTGTCTTTGTCCATCAAAAACCTAAAGGTGCAGAAATAATAGTTTGTGACGAATATTTAGCAAAATGCGCACAAATAACATCACGTGTACGTTAACGTCATACGTGGCTAATTACCTTGCAAATCCTTCAAATGACAGTAGCCCCTGCTGGCACATATGGACGCTGGGTTCAAATTTCTGTAAGAAACAGTAAGAGAATAACATCATTTTGATCAAAAGAAATATGTATCACATGCTTTAGGTAAAAGGCTTTAATTCATTTTTTACAGTGTAATTTGTACATCAAACTAATGAGCTGGCATTTGAAAACTGTATGCAGTCTGAATATCATTCAGAAGTGTCTTCACTATATTGATAATAGTTATAGGAGTTAGCAAAGTCACTAAATATATAAAATTAATAATACTGCAGAGCTTACAAATGTAGAATGTTGATCTAGATTATTATTTAAAATCATGCATGTTCTTATTCTTATATATAATACTCAGTGCCATCATCTAAAAGGAAATAACTATTTGTATTTATTTACCAGTGTTCAACAACACATCAACTTGTATAAAAAAAACATATAGAATAATGAAGTGTCATTCTGAAGTTCACTAGACATCCTGATTTTTTAACCTTGCTGTAAATGTACCGTATATTGCACATACTTGCCTAACATCTGAACTGTTCAAAATGTTTTGACAGTTTTGTTAAACCCTGTAGAGTACAGACTTAATTTTGGATTACATTAGACAAAAATAAAAAGGACTCAAAATTTACATTATGGTAGCTAGACATTCAATTTTTATAACACAATGGATACAAAACTCAACTTGGATCATTCTGTCCATATTCAATGGAGGTACGACACATTATAGAAATGAAACATTGATCTCATGGAATAGGACTATTGGGTACACTGAGGGAACAGAATTGGCAGTGGTTCCACAGGAGGAAATCCAATCTCCATATAGGTGATACAGTAGGTACAGTTCTGGAGACTGGCCAGAGAAAGAACACGTGCAGGAAAAAAAAAAGGAGGAAACAAAAACCCCTATAGAATGAATAGATGCATTGCAAAATATTTATATTACAGACCTGGATAATACTGAGGATTTCATCGTAGGTGAAGTGTTCACCTTGGCAATTCACTAAGAAGTCATTGAGTTGCTGGATGCCCACTCCAAATATTCCCAGTGATGTGCTTTCTACTCCAGTACCATTAGTTACAATGCTAGCAGCAGCAATGGCATCAGATATCTGTCTCTGGTTTTCTGATAGTTGCTGTCTACTATTAATGAACAAACCCAGATCTGATACATTCCTGGTCAATAAATCTAAAAGATAAATATGAACATAAATATTTGAGGAGTTTCATTTTATCACCTGGAGATAAATTAGGCGAGTACTATTCTATTATTCATACCACACTGAATTATTCAAAGGAATTAAAATTGTATTCACTGGAAAAAATCAATTTTCAATAACTATGGATCAAATCCTGAAATTCTTAGCCAAGACTTAGTCAGGCAAGATTCCTATTTACATCAGTGGAACTCTTTCTTTATTGAGAGTTGAGTGAGTTCTTCAGAATTTGGCTCTATATTACTGACTTGACCATACATGAAGTTTTCATTCTGAGACATGTATTCCATACACACACACACACACACACACACACACACACAATATATATATACACACACCTCTACCCGATATAACGCGACCCGATATAACACGAATTCGGATATAATGTGGTAAAGCAGCGCTCCGGGGCGGCGGGGCTGTGCGCTCTGATGGATCAAAGCAAGTTCAATATAATGCGGTTTCACCTATAATGCGGTAAGATTTTTTGGCTTGCGAAGACAGCATTATATCAGGGTAGAGGGGTGTGTGTGTGTGTATATATATATAAAATGCACTTTTGATAAATCTTATGTGAAATAAAACTTTCTGAATGTGTTAAACTTCTTAAACCTCTTAAAATTAGTTAAGCCAGTTGTGTATGGATGGAATGTGATGAACTGTTATTATGGAGCTGTGGTAGTGACCCTTTAGTTAAGGTTCTAACTCACTGTCAATTGTAAGCCTGATTCTGCCCCCCACTTCAACAGGATTTTTTTACAATGCCAATAATTAAAATAGTTCAGTTCTCTAAAGTGTTATTTTCTTGCTGAAATTAAATTTAACAAACCTAAATCAGGTTGGAGTCCACTGGTGTTCTCATCAATTTTCAGATTAGTATAAAGTGGAGTAGAATCAGAACCTGATCGATTGCAGGGTACAGCATAGACATCAAAGAGGTCTTTAAGATCCTTGCGGCTTCGAACACTAGGATACAGGAAGAATATTCACTTTGTGCTTTTTTTCTTAAAATAGATTTTTACTAACTTTGATGTGATGAATGTGATTAGTCAAATAGATTTTACCTGAAAGACTTGAAGAGCTCTACAAACTCAACAAAACTCATATTACTATCGGAAACCATAAAGGTCTGAAACCCCTTCAATCCTCCTTTGACTCGGCCATGCCAGCTACTGCTGCTCCAAGTACTAAAACAAAATGAGATTATTGTTATTTTCTTATATTTAACTTCCACAGATTGTGAAATATTAGGCAGCATTGCACTAAAGATCTATTCTAGGTTTTCTTTAATATATTTAATATCAATATTTGAAAGAAGGAAACAAAACAATACTTCTTAGTGGATGCAATCAGAGTTTGTACTTTGATTCTGTATTTCATACTGGCCACTCATTTCCCTAAAGACCACTGCAAACTTTGCCAAAGCAAATAAAGAAATTCTATTGAAAACTTTCCATGCATAGAAGAATCTAATTTAAATAGGCACAAACCGAGTTTTATTTTTTTTCATGTAACAAAATAATCCTACTATTGCTATAGCGTGAAGCCTAAAAGAAATATGTCCTGCTGTTTAGGAGGATCACAAGAAGTTTGCTTTTAGTATTTTACCAGCAAGACAATTAAAATGGGAAGCATGCTGGAAACTTACAGAATTCCTTAAGGTATAATGCTAGCATAATAAATAAATTATTCTTTCTGGATTATATGCAGGAAATAAATGTGTCACATTTGGACATCTCCAACAGCTGGGCGCATCGGTGAGGCAGAGAGATGCCCAGTAGGGAGCTCCCTGCCTGCCGATTCCAGCAGGTGACACAGACTTTAGCCCCCCCGTATTTCCCTGGTCACATGGAATGGAGGGAACAGGGATAGAGCCAGTCCCCAGAAGCAGCCTGGGCTTCCCAAGAAACAGCCAGGAATATCAGCAGTGGCACAGAGAGAAACTAAGCCATGGCGGCCCCACTTTTCCATTCAGGCCTGGTCTCTTGTAAGGAAGAATTACCATTTGGGGCACCCTCCTCCTCAAATTTATTTAGCGTATGCATAGTCATCTAGCCAAGCAATGGCATATTCAGTGGCATGATGCAGTTCTTCTAGGCCACCGCTGAATCTAGTCAGCAGGCATTCATCGACAATGTGCATCATCGTCTGTGTTGCGCCACAGCTGCACAAAGGACTGTCATGAAAGCCCCAGCGATACTGGTTAGCTGTGCAGAGACCTTGCCCAGTCCAGAACCTGTTCAACAGGGACCACTGGTGACAGGGCAGGTCAAACCCAAGCAGGCAAATTGTGGGGTCAGCGACGAGGGACTGGTTGGGGATTATAACAGATATCCATTCCTCTCGCCAGAGTGTTTCCGCCCTAACATCCTGGCGTGGCAGATGAGACCATAATGGGAGACTTGACGGCAAACATGCAGCTGGTGGTTTAAAAAGGTCATTGTGCAGCGGCAGGCTTGAGTTGGCGCGTACTTTTTCCAGTAACTTGCCAGTGGCAACCTCTCGTCTGATTTGAGGAGGAGCAATATTGCTCAGAACTGGAAGCCATGGGAGTGGAGTCGGACGCAGGGTGCCGGAGATGATACGCATGGTGGCATATAACTGTGTATCCACCAGTTTGGTGTGTGATGATCAACTTCAAACAGGTGCTCAGTACTCCGCCACCGAATATGAGGTAGCAAGAGCTGACGTCTGCAAAGTTGGAGCACGAGCACCCCATGAACCTGCCAGTTTGCTAAGAAGATTGTTGCGTGTCTTAACTTTAGCTGCTGTCTTCTTCAGGTGGGCATGGTAACTCAGTGTGTGGTCTAAGGTCACACCTAGATAGACAGATTCTACTTCATGCTTCACCTTCTGACCATTCAAATAAACATTCAGTTCTTGGGTTGCACTGGCGTGATGAAGATGGAACAAACTGGAGACTGTTTTTATGACACTTGGCTGCAGGCGCCAAATCTTACAATAGCCAGCTAACTTTATCATGTCCTGATTTAAGGTGCATCAAGCTCGTGAAACGTCTGGGCCTTGGTACCACAACAGAACAAGGTATCACAGGCTTCCCTCCTTCACCCACATGGATTAAGGGAAGGGAAAGCAGAGTAGAACCTCCTGAGTGTGAATTGAGGAATGTTCACAGTACTAAAAATAAGTGGTTGCTTAGGTGTAAGTGATCGTGACTTGATTACTTTTTATTAAGTCCAAACAGAAACAAAACCAATAATATATATACCTGGTGCTTTAAAAAGGCCAATTTCACAAGCTGAAAACAATTATGAACCAAATAGGCTGTGAGAGAGAATTTAAACAGAAAAATGTGAAAGACAATTGAGAACTGTTTAAGAACATGTTACTAGATGCCTAAAACCCAGAGTCTAACAATTGAGAAAGGCGGCTACATTGGTTAAAAACAACCTGGCTCAGAGGGGATTTGAAAACAGCTATACAATAATAATAATAATAATTAATAATAAACCACCCCAATATATAACAAATGGAAAAAAGGAGAAGCTGTTAGCACTTTATCAGTTTTCTTCAACTCCTAACTTCTAATTTGTATTAAGGAAGCAAAAGGACATAAGGAGAAATCTGTGGTCAAAAGTGTTAAAAAAAGGCAGAGGTGTTCAATAAATATTTCTGTTCTGTATTTGTGAAAAATTTACATGATGTATTGATATCATATGATGATGATGAAATACTTTCCATTCCAACTCAAGAGGATGTTGAACAGCAACTACTAAAGTTAGATATTTTTAACTCAGCTGGTCCACATAACTTAAATCCACGAGTTTTTAAAGAGCTGTCCAAGAAGTTCTCTGAACTGTTACTGATGATTTTCAATAAGTCTTCGAACACTGGGGAAGTTCCAGAGGATTGGCAGAAAATTAATGTTGTTCCAATATTTTAAAAGTGTAAACAGGGTTACCTGGATAAATATAGGCCTGTCACCTTGACATCAATCCTGGGCAAAATTATGGAATGGTTGATATTGGTCTTGATGAATAAAAATTAAAAGAGGATAATATAATTAATGCCAATTAACATGTGCTATGGAAAATATAGGTTGTCAAACTAACTAGATATTTCTTTTTGATGAGATTACAAGTTTGTAGTTGTAGTTTGTGTTGTAGTATAAATAATAATATTAACTTGTACTAGATAACTTCTGGGCTTTTATAAACCTAGAAAAAGCATACAATAAAGTGGATAAAAGGATGTTCTCACCTGGGCTGAAGAAACATGGAGTGTCTGAGGATTTAATAACTATGGTGAATGCCCTATATAGATCACCTAAAACAGTGATGTAAATATGTTTTTGAATGACAAGTCCTTCTGAAGTGAAAATCGTACTGCACCAGGGGTCATCCCTACGTCTGCTGTTGTTTATCATATTGCTGGACTATGTCAGCAGGAAGATCCCAATCGGAAAAGGCGAGAAGTTGCTATATGTAGACGACACAGTAATAAGGGCATCCTCAAAAGAAGATCTACAGGAAATAGTAAGCCAGTAGTCTGACCAACTAAACTGGCATAGGATGAAAATGAGCATGACTAAGATTGTGGTCATCTGGGTGCCACAGGGAAACTGGACACAGAGATTAATGGAGTGAAACTAAACCAGACTGACCAGTTCAAGTACTTTGGTGGCTGAGTCATGGAAGATGGCAAGCTTGAACATGATATACAGTCGAGACTGGGGAGTTCTGGAAGAATGTGGAATAACACCTCAGGGGCAGTGTATGATAAGCACATGCCACTGAGACTGAAAGCACAATTAAACAGAACAATGGTGTACCCCACAATGCTGCTTGGTGAGAAGCATGTGCTACAAAGAGATGGCAGGTTCAAAATGCCTACAAGTGTTTGAGATGAGATGTCTTCATGCCATAAGATGAATTACATGAATAGAGAGATTCTGAAATGAAAGTATTAGGATGGAAGTCAATGTTCATGATGTGGCTGACAAAATCCAGGAAGCACAACTTCACTGGTTTGGACACATGCAGAGGATGAATGAAGGGGACCTGGTGAAAATAGCATGGCAGAAGAAGGTGGTAGGAAACAGACCCTGAGGAAAACTGAGGAAGCGTAGATGGATTGCACCAAACATGGTAAGCAGGTGAACTGTAGTGCCACCTCAGACAGATGAAGGTGACTGATGCTGGCATGATGACCTGAGCCCAGCTGATGGGATAAGAGGAAGATGAAGAAGAACTAATAATTTATACTGGATTATTTTTATTTTATTTCTCTATGTTCTAAGTTTCTGGCTCACAATATATGCCCTAGGGACAAAAGAGAACAGTCAGCCATGGTCCAAGAAGGTGCAGCTCCAATGAAATCAATGATGTTGTGCCTACCTACACACAATCTTAATTTGGCCCATTGCATGGCTATTTGCTATGTATCTGACTCAACACTCCAAAGTTTCCCAGTTTATAGCTTTGAAACTATCTAGTCCGTCATAGAATTGCAGATGTCCATAGGAACTGAGGGCACTCAGTACTTTGCAGAATCAAGCCCTAAAAGACTTTTGCTATGAGGGTATAAAATATATTTGCTCAGATTCCCCTTAATTTACCCAAGCTGAGTCAAGGGGCGTTGCACAGGTGCAAGTGAAAGCAGAATTTGGCCTAATATGCCTCCAAAATACCTACCCACCTGCTTTGGTTAGTAATTTTCATTTTGTTTGGCATTACTATGCCAAGTACATCATGGCATGTAATGTGTTGATTAATATCTCTCATAACATTTTTGCGAGACAATGAAAATAACTAAGAATAACACAGAAAAAGTCTCCAGGCTCCAGAACATAGAATGAAATATGTAATCTAGAATGGAACATCAATGGGAATTAAGGCTTCTCAGCACTCCAAGGGACTGGGGCCCTAAATAGCTATTTCTCTCATAATACTTTCTTGGAAAGTACCTATGATGGAGAAACTTATTCTTTAAAATGTAAAACAATAATACTTAATAGCAGGTCCTCCTTACAATATTTCCTTTTGTTTTAAACAAAACTATTTTAAACTAAACTATTTTGAACGTTCAGCCTGAATGAAGACATCAAAATAACCAATTGATTAGGTACTGTTATTTGTGATGCTAATGTTAAATACTGAACAGAAATAAACGTAAAATTAGAGGTCTGTATCCTCCATCTTAAAAATTTGGATATCTTCATGTGTGGTGCTGGCAGCAAAATTTTTAGGCTCATAGTAACTGTGAGCATAACATGATATTTACTGTACTTCAGAGGAAAAACCCCAAATGAAGCTGGATACAATCTTCTAGGCTACACCTTATTGTGATTTTGTCATTTCTAGTCATATTGTATAATGATGTATACTGCATATGTCTATTTCCCTTAGCATGTGAAATGCATCCATGTATATGGAAGCTGGCAAACATTTCAGAACTAGTAAGGGTGCTAAAGGACAAAAGTAAGATCCTCACCCCTGCTCTGGTCCCTTTAGGGTAGGCAAAAGAGCCGGAACAGGGTAAAGGAGTCCTAAAAGCCCTTGTTCGGCCTGTGCGGAGATATCCCTAATGCAGATACTGCATAAAATAGACAGAAGGCTCCCTCCCAAGGACCCCCTCATAACCTCGGGAATAAATGGCATGCTGGGGATGGGCCTGGCAGGGAAGATGTCTGTGTGTCAGGGCAGAGCTCTAGCAAACAGCACTGTGGAGAGTCTAGATTGCTTTGCAACCCACAGAGCAGCCAAGGGAAAAGCTGCCATAACTTAGACAGGACCCCAGAGCTGTCTAAGCTACAATGGGGGTCTCTATAGCTCCTGCAGCAGACCAGGATCAGGAGGACCTAAAGCCACCATAGCCACCCCCTCTCGAGCTGTGAGTTTTGTGCTGAGCCTCAGGGTATGTCCGCACAGCAATTTAAGCCTGGGTCTGAGTCCAGGGTCAAGCAAAACTCCCCATGCGTCCACACAGCAAATATGCTAACCTAGGTCTCAGACCGAGGACCCCAGGATGCTGCAGGGTCTGAGCCCATGTTAAGCTGGGACCTAGGATCTGAGCCCTACTGCTTTTCTGTAAGCACACGGCCCTGGCATGACTTGGGTCCTGGAAGTCCTCCAGATGTATCCCAGAGTTCTTGCTCTCAGAGGAGCAGCGCTGCAAGCAGCCAGCACAGGGTCTGGAAGTTCCATTACTGCCTGATTGAGCGCACTCCCTATTCCTGTGCGGAGCTTACCTAGAACAGGGCAGAAAGGTGACAGGCAGGAAGCGGCTCCCGGCCAACAGGATAGTGGGGATCATCCCTTCTGCAGCCGGGCTGAGCTTGGAGCTCTACCACTCCCCATCCCAGCAGGGCAACCACTTGGTCTTTGCTCTGCTCTCTGGCCCTTGCTTCTGGGCACCCCCCACCCTCCCTTGGGCTACATGTGCAGGGGCACCCGGGTTGTGTGCGCTGTCAGGGCGGTAAATGGGAGCCAGCCCCAAAACTTCCCCGCAGCCCTCACATGGTGGCAGCGGCGGCAGCTCCAGCTCCTCTTCACTGCGGCAAAGTTTTGGGGCTGGCTCCCACTTGCTGCCTACAGTGCACACAGGGCGACCCTGCACATGCAGCCCCAGGGGGGCCCAGGTGCAAGGGCCAGAGAGTGGAGTGGGGACCAAGCAGCTGCCCTGCAGGGAGGGGAAGCAGCAGAGATTCCTGCTCAGCATGGCCAAAGGAGGGATGACCCCAGACACCCCAGTTGTTCCCCCTCCCTGCAGGGCAGCCGTTTGGTCCCTGCTCTGCTCTCTGGCCTCACTCCCCCGGTTGTGTGTGTGCAGGGGCACCTCGGCTGCATGTGCTGTCAGGGTGGTGAGTGGGAGCCAGCCCCAAAACTTCCCCGCAGCCTCCTGCAACGGTGGCTCCAGCTCCTCCTCGCTGCTGTGCGGAGCTTGCCCAATGCAGGGAGCAAAGCTGACAGGCAGCAGGCGACTTCCAGCCATCGGGATGTAAGGGGTCTGCTGCTCCACCTCCCTGCAAGGCAGCCACTTGGTGCCTGCTCTAGTCTCTGACCCTTGCTCCTGGGGCCCTCCTGCCCACCCTGGGGCTGTGTGCGCAGGGGCACATGGGAAGCGTGCACTGTGAGGACAGCGAGTGGGAGCCAGCCCCAAAAGTTTTCTGCAATCTCCTAGGGATCCCTTATCCCTGCCTCCCTCAGTGTGGCAAGGGCAGGGAAAAAGGATCCTCAAGACCTACTATCTTTGACTGAAGCAAAAAAGGAATCAAGTTTAAATGAGAAAAAGGAATTAAAAGGATGTTGATGGCATTTTGCCAGCTGGATAGTAACATCTGATGTTTCAGTGCCAGCTAATCCTGCTCTGAGATGGATCAATTTTAAGGTTTAAAATATAGTTGCCATGGTCCACACAGAGCCAGGATTTTGGCACTCATGAAGCAGATAGGAGGAGGACTAGGAAATGGGGCTGACTGACTCAGTTACATGACTTCTCCATATCCACTTGGGTCACTGTGGCTTTGATATTTTATTTGAAAAAAACAACAACCCAGCTTTTATATCCATGCTAATTTTCTGTTTAATACTTTTGAATCAACCCTCCAACCCAACCAACCCTCCCCCCAAGCGCTCTGGCCAAGTAATAAGAATACTTGACAGCAAAAAGTAAAGTAAGAATACTATTCAGAGAAATGCAAGGTTTTCTTTAGCCAAGGAGAGTGAGCTATTGAAGATGGTTCTCAACCCCATAGAGATAATACACAGGATCAAATCCTGCTTGCCTTATTCATATGAATATTTCTATTGAAGGCTATAAGACTTGTATCTGGGCAAGGACTGAAACCAGGACGCCAGCATTTGACCCTATACAAAGATAAGGGATCCGCATGGGGTGGTGGAGCACACTGCACCCAAGCCCTGAGGATGCACTTCACTGCTCTGCAGCCGGCAGCTGGGGTGTGTGTGTATTTTTCCTCTGAAACCTACATCTTTATGTCAAACTTCAAAACAAACAGACAAAAATAAAAAATAAAAAAATAAAAAACAGACAAAAACATCATTATGGAACATCCCAATTAAAAAAATTTAAATTGCAAAGTTTCATTTTAATAGTTTGACAGCCCTGGACACTGATGTCTTAATTATCCTAAGAACAGGTGCACATGGGCATTTTCCCACCAATGTGACTCAGTCTAGAGTCAGAGAGCCAACTCTCAGATTAGATGGTAGTTCAGTATAAACCCTTCTCAAACTGCAGTCATTCTCCTGAGACAGCCACCAAAGGAGCTAGTTATGCAATTTATGTACTCGTGCGCACATTATGGGCATCTGAGTCCCATCAATAGTACTGCCAGTCAGGAAACAGGGTGGGCAGTAGAGTTTTCCCACAGTGCATCATGTTCTTAGGGCTAGAGTATCAGCATGGGGGGGGCAGGGGCAGTACGCACTTTGGGATATGTTTACTTTGACTTGGGTCTGTGCACTGCAGTGTGGATGCCAGAACCCTAGATTCGATCATGGGTCAGGAAATTCTTAACCTAGGGTTAAAATGCAATGTAGATGCTCAAGCCCAGGGTTCCCTGACATGGGTCAGCTGACTTGAGTCTCGCTAATCATTGACTTAGGGCTGGTCTATACTTACCGGGTAGTTCGACGGCTGGCAATCGAAGTTCCGGGTTCGATTTATCGCGTCTGGTCTGGACGTGATAAATCGAACCAGGAAGTGCTCGCCGTCGACTGCGGTACTCCAGCTCAACGAGAGGAGTACCGCGGAGTCGACGGGGGAGCCTGCCTGCCGCATGTGGACCGCGTCTGAACCGCGGTAAGTTCGAAGTAAGGTATGTCGACTTCAGCTACGTTATTCACGTAGCTGAAGTTGCGTACCTTACTTCGACTTGGGGGGTTAGTGTAGACCAGGCCTTACACAGCTGTGTAGACATAGCTTTAGAGGCACAGCACAGAATCTCATCCAAAATCTTGAGAAGTATGAACACATACTTGAGTACCCATACCTCTCACTAAAGTCAGCGGGAGTTATGGGTCCTCAGGATTTAACCCAAAATGAGTATGGAATTGTGGAATGCTACAATACAGTCAACAGATTTTTCTTGCCTGTGGCAAATTAATGGCACATTGAAATATTACAAAGTTCTAGGTGCTCTACATATAGGAAACATCAATTATTTTGGCAAATGAAATTAAACATAACGTAGATTTTCAAAATTGGGAAGCAACTGCTGTGGCATCAATTTGTGATGCTTTTTCAATGTACTGTGAACTCAATTTGTTATAGCCTTTTTGAAAAATATAACATGAAAGCCATATAGTAGAGATAAATCTTATTGTGATGTATACACCCATTGGTCCTACATGATGGAGTGCAGAACTGCACACACACTGTATGTAAAGAGAACAAAAAAGTCTTAGAAAGTGACTTTCAAGGCAAAAGCAGCCAGTTTTGCACTACAGATATCAGCAATGATCTTTTCATGCTGTTTACTGTTGTCTTTCCCTCCTTCCTTATCGTCCCTACCCGCACTATTCATTGTGTTATCTGTCTCATTTAGACTGGAAGGTCCCTATGGCATAATAAAATAAATCATAAATAATAATAATGAATTAACACATGGTAGCACACCATGGCACTGCACAGTCAAAAACATGACCTTCTGCACTGAATATAGAACTAAAAAGTACTGCAGGTAAAAAGAGGAGGGAAGTGTGTGGGAAAGGGAAGGTTCCCAAAAATATCCCTATTATTTCCTGGCAAAACAGGGCAACTTCCACCAGAAATTCTAGTACAGGTTTATGCTCCTTGAGGTTGAACTAACTTTTGCAAAGCACCTATGCAACTCAGTTTACACAGCTGAAATACTTCAGTTAATGACAGTTAAACACATGGAGCATCTGTGACCAAAATCTGTGCAGATGATCTCTGGACTATCCAAGAACTGGAAAAGGTAAGCTCCATACTTATGTATATCTAGGACAGCACTTCAGTCATAACTTATAATGTTAATAATTAGATTTTTAAAAAGTACTGATTTTGTCCCTACCTAGCCTGACTCTTGCTTGAAGATGACATTACAGGAGAGGAGACTGGTCTGATTGGTGCAGATGCCCCAGGTGCTAAGCTAGGAGATCCAGATGCAGTCAGAGAATGAGCTCTTCTAGATGGCAGAGTGTTAGAGGCAGAGGCGTTGATCACAATATTCTGATCTATGAAAGAAAACAAAATTTTGCATAACTAGCATCATTTCTACACAACACTCACATACTATCACTGAATAAAACTGAGTAAAACCCCAAAGAGTTTCTAAATTTGTCTTGTACCATTCAAAAACATATACTGAACAGTATTTTATGAATATCAGGTCTTGTTAGCACTATACAATTAATAATTATAGTATTTATTATTTAAAATTCATTGAAAAAGCAATCACAGAAAAAACCCCGTTACCTACTTTTGGAAACTGTTGTTCTTCGAGATGTGTTGCTCATGTCGATTCCATTCTAGGTGTGGGCGCACCCAGGGGTGCAGTCGTCGGAGATTTTTGCCTTAGCAGTATCTGTAGATTCGTCTCTGGCGCCCTCTTGAGTGCTGCACTCATGCGTCGGTATGTTAGGCGCCGCCGGCCCTTCACCCTCTCAATTCCTTTTTGCTGGCTACTCCAACAGAGGGGTAGGAGGGTGGGTAATGGAATGGACATGAATAGCACATCTTGAAGAGCAACAGTTACGAAAGGTAGGTAACCATTTTTTCTTCTTCAAGTGCTTGCTCATGTCGATTCCATTCTAGATGACTCACAAGCAGTATCCATGGAGGTGGGCTCGGAGTTCACGGTTGTGCATCTTGCAACACTGCTCTACCGAAGCCAGCATCGTCTCGGGCTTGCTGGGTAAGCACATAATGAGTTGTAAACATGTGGATAGACGACCAGGTAGCGGCCCTGCAGATATCTTGAATAGGCACCTGGGCTAGGAAGGCCGCCAATGAAGCCTGCACCCTAGTTGAGTGGGCAGTCACAGTCGCCAGTGAAGGCACTTTCGCCAACTCGCAGTAGTAATGGATGCAGGCCGTGATCCAGGATGAAATCCTCTGAGCAGACACTGGGCGACCTTTCATCTATCTGCCACCACAACGAACAACTGCATTGACTTGCGACCGGCTGAGTCCTGACCATGTAGAAGGCAAGCACCCTCCTGACGTCCAGAGCGTGCAATTTGTGCTCCTCTTCTGATTTATGAGGCTTCGGAAAGAAGACAGGTAAGTATATGTACTGGCCGGTATGAAACTGTGAAACTGCCTTGGGCAGGAGCGCTGGATGCAGCCGCAGCTGGACCTTGTCCTTGTAGAACACCGTATACAGCAGTTCCGAAGTAAGCACCCTGATCTCAGAGATCCTGCGGGCAGATGTTATCGCAACCAGGAACGAAACCTTCAAGGAGAGAAGTAGAGCAGGAAGCCAGAGGCTCGAAGGGGGACCATGAGCTGCGACAGCACAAGATTCAGGTCCCAGGGAGGATGTGCAGGTAAAGATGCTCCAGACCTTTCAAAAACTGGACCATCATGCCATGAGCAAAGACTGACCTGCCCTGGAGTGGAGGGTAGAAGGCCAAAATAGCAGCCAAGTGGACTTTGATTGATGATAAGGGACAACCCTTGGAGCTTGAGGTGCAGAAGATAGCCCAGGATTGCCTGCAGTGAGGCCTGCTCGGCCTGGATACTGTGGTCCAAGGTCCAGCACGTGAACCTTTTCCACTTGGCCAGGTAGGTCCCTCTGGTGGAGGACTTTCTGCTACCCAACAAGACCTGTTGGATATTGGCCAAGATTTCCCGTTCTTCCGCATTTAACCATGCAGTAGCCATGCTGTCAGGTGCAGCGCTGCCGGGTTTGGGTGCAAAAGACTGCCATGGTTCTGGGACAGCAGGTCCTGCCAGAGAGGCAGCTACAGCGGGGCTGCCACTGAAAGGTCCAGCAGCGCGCCGAACCAGTGCTGTCGAGGCCACACAGGGGCTATCAGGATCACCTTTACCCTGTCCTGTTTGATCTTCATGAGGACTCTGTGGATTAACAGCACTGGTGAGAAGGCATACATCAGAGCCCTCAACCACGGGAGCAAAAAGGTGTCTGACAGGGAGCCCCTGTCCATTCCCCAGCTTGAGCAGAACACACAGCGTTTCCCATTCTGATGGGACACAAACAAGTCCACGTGGGGATTCCTCTGCCTCTGGAAGATTATACCACCTCTGGATGGAGTGATCACTTGTAGTGAGATGAGAAGATCCTGCTGAGGCGATCTGCTAACATGTTCCTGGCCTCGGGCAAATATGCGACTACCCAGATGGATGGCATGCTGCACAAAGAAGTTCCACAGGCGGAGAGTTTCTTGGCAAAGGGCCGATGACCTGACTCCGCCTTGCCTGTTGATGTAATACATTGCAGCGGTATTGTCCATCAGGACCTGCACCACCTTGCCTTTCAGGTGGAGCAGGAAAGCTTGGCAGGCCAGGGGAACCGCTTTGAGCTCCCTGATATTTCTGTGGAGGGCCAGATTGTCTCACAACCAGCAGCCTTGCGTGCTGAGCTCACCCAGGTGGGCTCCCCAGCCCAGGTCCGAGGCACTGGAAACCAGGGTCAGTGATGGGGCTGGGGCCGCAAAGGGAACTCCCTCCAGCACCAACTCGGGGCTCAACCACCAATCCAGGGATGACTGGATGTGAACCAGCACCCTGACTACCCAGTCTAGATCGTTCCTGTTGGGGATGTAGACCAACGCCAACCATGCTTGCGGTGGGCGGAAATGGAGCCGGGCATGCCAGACCACGTACATGCATGCAACCATGTGGCCTAACAATTGCAGGCCGGTTTGAGCAGTGGTAGTGGGTAGTTTTTCACATGGAAGATCAGGTCCAACATGGCCTGAAAACGCGCCTCCAAAAGGAAGGTTCTGGCTCATGTGGAGTCGAGAACCGCCCCAATGAACTCTATCCATTGCACCGGCCTTGAGGCCGATTTCTTTTCGTTTATCAACAGGCCCAGTTCACGGCAGGTGGAACGTACCAGATTGAGACTCATCTGCACCTGCTCCTGAGATCTGTCCTTGATGGCCAATCATTGAGATACAGGTAGACCTGAACCCCTCAACCCCCTCAGGTAAGCGGCCACTGGTGTCATATATTTTGTGAATACCCTTGGGGCAGACAAGAGACCAAAGCGCAGCGCCATGAACTGAAAATGGCATCCACTCACTATAAAACGGAGGAATCGTCGATGATCTTGGAAGATGGAGATATGGAAATAAGCGTCCTTCAGATTGAGGGTGGCGTACCAGTCTCCCGGATCCAGGGAGGGGATGATGGAAGCCAGGGAGACCATGCAAAACTTCAACTTCTTGAGAGACTTGTTGAGACTCCGCAGGTCCAGAATGGGTCCCAGCCCCCCTTTTGCTTTTGGGATTAGGAAATAACGGGAGTAGAACCCTTTTCATCTCATGTCCCGAGAGACCTCTTCCACCACCCCCAGCTGCATGAGGTTTTCGACCTCTTGAACGAGAAGGTGCTTGTGAGAAGGTTCCCTGAAAAGGGACAGGGAAGGATTGGGGGCGGGGGGTGAGAATTGCAGGGTGTAGCCCTGAGATACAATCTCTAGCACCCAACGGTCCGAGGTGACCCACGACCAGACCAAACGGTAGGGACGAAGACGGTTGAGGAAATAATAAGGCGGATCTGGAGAGTTGACTGGGGCCTGGCTCTCGAGCACACCCTCAAAATGAGAGCTTTTGGCCCCCGTCATGCTTTGCCAGGCTGGGTTGTGCAGGTGAGCGGGAGGAAGGAGGGCAGTGATGACTAAAACTCGTGTCTCTATCCCTTCTCCTTGCAGGCCCTTGTTGAGGCTGCCAAGGCCTTGGTGGCGGGGGTGGCCGGAACTGCTTCCTTGCCAACTGCGATGTATGCAGACTGAGCGAGCGAAGGGTGGCCCAAGTATCCTTCAGACTGTGTATCCTTGCATTGGTCTGCTCCACAAAAATACTGTTCCCATCAAAGGGAAGATCTTGGATCGAGATCTGCATTTCTGAGGACAGCCCAGCGGTCTGAAGCCAGGAGCTACGCCTCATGAACACTGCCAATATGACCACCCGAGCTGCTGAATCGGCCACATCCCACACCATTTGGAGGGAACACCTAGCCGCTGCCGTACCCTCCTCCACCAGGGCCACAAATTCCTGGGCTGAGTTCTGGGGCAGGGATTCCTTGAACTTACAGAGGGAGTTCCATAAATTAAAGTTGTACCTTCCCAAGAGAGCCTGGTGGTTAGCCCCCCGGAACTGAAGACTGGCTGTTGAATAAACCTTCCTTCCAAAAACGTCCAGCCTCTTGGCCTCCTTATTTCTGGGGGTCGAACTGGTTTGCCCCATCTGTCCTCTTCGTTGGCTGTAGAGATGACCAATGAGCCTGGAGGTGGATGGGTATACAAATATTCAAAACCCATGGCTGGGACGAAATATTTTTTCTCTGCCTTCTTGGAGGAGGTAGGGCTGGAAGATGGAGTTTGCCAGAGGGCTTTGGCTATTTTTAAGACCCTATTGTGTACCGACAGTGCGATATGGGTGGGGGTAAATGCTGAGAGTACATTAAACAGAGTGTCCGTCTGTTGGCCACCTCCTCCACTTCCAAACCCAAGTTTGTGGCCACCTACGAAGCAGGGCCTGGTGTTCTTTAAAATCGTCTGGTGGGCTGGCATGAGAGGGCCCCGTCACCACCTCATCTGGGGACGAGAACAACTGGGTCACCGGGGGAGGCCCTGGGGCATTATCCCCCATGGAAGAAGAGGGTTTCGGGGTGAGCACTTGCTCTTCTACCCCAGCCTCCGAGTGCACCTGGCGCACTGAGCTTGGTGCCGCTGGTGCTGTTGGTTGCTGCTCTGAGGCAGCGGCTGAAAAATGGAGCGAAGGAGGCATTGGCATCACAGGCATGCCCCACACGCTCCAGTAGGGTCACTGTGCTGGCCACTGGCCTTGCTGCCAAGATGGCATCGCAGAGATTGATGCAGCCTCAGGTGCCCAGTCATGCCAGTGTTGCCTTGGTGAAAGACTGAATTCCCTTTCTGTGCCGGGGGAATCACCTTCCAGTGACCATGGAGGGACTGTCAAAGCTTGCATCTGATAGCTCACTGTTGCCGCAGGAGACCGGTGTCTTGAGTAGGTGGATCGGTGCCGGGGGCAAGGGGATCAGTACCGCATCACAGATTTTTCCATGGTCTAGGAGACGGGATCTGCGCAGAGCAGACAGCTGGTGGGAGGATGATTGGTGCCTCTGGGTAACCCGTGTTGAGAGAGCGGAGACCGCGATCGCAGTGCCAGCGATTTACGGTGTCCTGCAGAAGACGGAGACCTGGTGCGTGGAGACAGAAAGTGTTGTCTCAGCTCCGGAGACTGGCAACGTTCGCTTGCCCTTTGGGGGGTCTTTATGGCTGACTTGCCCATGTAGGGAGCCCTTGCCGTGTCCTGTGATGCACACAGTGCCTGTAGCGCTGGTAGAGGCCTTTGCTCTCTAGGCGCCGGGAGAGCCTGGGAAGGCGTCAGCCCTGCCACGAGTTTGAGTCCCCTACCATTCCTGGGAGTCAGTGGCGGATCCCTTTGGGGGCTAGGGTGCCCCATCAGGGAGGCATCCCCACATGGCTCTGGTCTGGGCTGGTGGCCCGAACTGGGTCCTTTGCCCGATGCCCCTTGGCCCTTCTTGCTTGATGCTGAGGAGCTGCATTTCTTCGACTTCTTCTTAGGCACCAGCAATGGGGAGTGGTGCCAAGCAAAGCCCGGTGCCGGGTGTGTACAGCACGCCAAGGCCGGAGTGCTAGGAGTAGAGTCCAGCCAGGAAGGCTCAGAAGCCAGGCGGAGAGCAGCCTCCATGAGGAGGGCCCTCAAATGGATGTCTTGCTCTTTCTGAGTTCTGGGACGAAAGTTCTTACAGATGCGACACTTGTCCTTCACATGTGATTTCCTCAAGCACTTCGGGCAGCTGCTATGGGGGTCACTAACAGGCATACGCCTGTTGCAGACAGAGCAGGGCTTAAAACCCAGAGACTGGGGCATGCCCCGCCTGGGGCAAAGTCCCCACTGGGACTCTCTCTCTAACTATACTACTTAACAACTACTTACTAACTAACTACTGTAAACAAACGATTTACAAGGCTCTAAGGCTTGAAGTCCAAGGAGAAAGAACCACTAACCCTTGCTAGGCAAGGGAAAGGCGCTCTGATTAGCCACTACAGCCCCGGTAAGAAGGAACTGAGAGGGCATAGGGCTGTGGCACCTAATATACTGATGCATGAGCGCGGTGCCACAGCCGACCCCCTACGAATACCACTAAGGCCAAAATCTCCGATGACTGCACGTGTGGGTGTGCACACACCTAGAATGGAATTGACATGAGCAAGTATTCAAAAAAGAACAGTACAAATTATTGTAAAAAGCGTACAGCATATGCAGAAAATACCATCCTGACAACACTATCACACCACAAATGAGTGTGTCAGAGCTGTAACTTCCTATTAACAAATAACTATTATTATTTTTGTATAGAATAAAGCCTATTGAAACTTTTGCCCACTGTAACATTTCACCCATCATTAGCTGTGTCAAAATTATTCAAAACAAAACATTAAAAGGGATCTAACTCCTGGACCTATTATATCTACCTGATTCTTCTTGTTCATCAATGTCTTGAGGATCAGAACCACTTCTATTACGATATTCTTTATAACTTTTTGTCTTACGAGTTGCCATCTCATCATCAGTAGCATCTCCACTTTCACCCTGGAAACAGTGAACATTGTCATAATCATCTTTAAAATGTTGTTTATTTTATCCTATATTATTTTTATGAATGACAAAAACTGGACATGAATCAGCTATTCTACATTAAACACTAAAGAAGACTGCTGTAAATGCTGATAGTTGCCACCATCACTCTAGATAGAAAAGAGGTAATTTAAATCTCATGAAAGTTCCACAAAGGAGTGTAGAAACATTGGCTGTCACCTCAGTGTGACATCACACAGAACGAGACAATAGCCTTGATTTTCTGGAGTGTTCTGGTTGTCTTTGTGCTATTCCACTGGCATAAAACAGTTCTAGAGCAGGTGCATCTGGCCCCTTGAGGAATCCCCCTGACTAAAGGAATCTTTGGGTAGCGTAGAGCCGCCATACCAGTTCCTACATGACCCCTCTCTTGGCCACTTGTGAAAAGGATGTATGTCCAGGAAAAAGAACATGTGGCCTGGGCAACTCCTGTGCTCAGCTGATCTCCGATTACTGGAACAGCTCAGAGGGGAGGTACCATATAAAGGTCTCAATCAGTCTGCACCCCATTGTTCTACATGCTGTCCCCCAAAATCCTGGGCCTCCCTGGGTGTGAGGAAAAATAAGCCACTCCTAAATAAATAATACGCCAGGGAACTGCCATTTCAATTAACATAGTTTCAAAGTTATAACAACTGTATTATTATATACTGATCTTTTCTCTGGTTCAGAAAACATGGTTAGCTATACAAAAACTGTATTATAAATAGCTTAAATTGGCTAGATCACAGGATTTGTACATTAATAACAAAATATTCTACCCTCATGAGTACTTTCTTCTTTTTCTTGGCTGTGCTTATTCCCAGAGTGTTGTTTCTCTGCACACTGGGTTTCTCAGTGCTTCTGGTCAGGGCCCCTGTGCTTGTGTTCCTTGCACTCCAGCGTCTGCCTCCAAACAGTTCAACAGCCTGAGCCAAAGTTGGGCCTTCAAACCTGCCATCCTCCTACAAAAATTCTCAGCATTACAAAAAAAGGACTAGGTACAGTACTGCAGAAAGACTCAAACATTTTCTGAAATAGTAGTGAAGATACCCATTATAAATCAGTGATAGACTGAACATCAAAAGCAAGGCCAATTTTACTTATAGTTAAAGTACTGCTGTTTGTTTTGTTGTTATTATTGGCAAAATGTTTTGCTTTTTGTTTTGTTTTTTTATCCCACTTTCCACTGCTCAAGATTTGAGCTCCTGTGTAGTTATGGGCATTGCTTCCTGTTTAATCAAATGCTAACTTCAAAGGCCCAATTAGCGTACCAGTTTCACTTTTTATTTTATGATATATTAAGATCTGCCTAATTACAAAAGATCTGTTTAATACTTGATTTTAGTGTATCAAATAGCCTTTGATTAAATGCAATATTAAAGGCCAGATTCACTAGTTTTACGCTTGTGTCAATCTGCTGACTTCAGTGGAGTTATGCTGATGTAAAATTAATGTAATGGTGGAGAATCAGGTCTTGTATTTTTAACCTTAACCTGCCTAAAACAAATATGAATATGTATATTGTTGGTATCTTAGAAACTTTCACTTATTTATACACTAGATGATTACAATGTACCTTACCTGATAAAGGCAGACATACTGTTTCCGTAGCCACTGCAATCTCTGATCAGGAAATTTCCTCATTTTTCTTACAGCTTTTGTTAATTCCAGCAATCCATCATACAGCATTTTGGCAGTATATTTTGGAGCCACAAAGTGCAGCAACTTATTATCAGTAGTTTGAAGTCCATATAGTAGTGTTACTCCATTCTCTTCAAGGGACATACTACAAAGTTTATTTTGAACACACACAGTGTGCATATCAATGCCAGGGTGCCCCATGTACACAGCCTTTGCTGAAAACAAATCCAAGAAACCGTCCACCAGTCCATTCAATCCAGTACTGCCAAGAAACTGAAATTTACCAAGCTCAGCAGTGCTACCTAGCACACCCAGTTTTACTTTAGTATTTGCAGGGCAAGCTGTGGTGGGTTTTATCCATGTCAAAGTACTATTGTCAGGTTGAAGCTGAAGAAAACAGCGTGCTGAGAGATGCATCTCCTGGTCATAATGTATGACAGTTGCCCCTTGTAGCATGAACTGATGGACATCAGCTCTGATTGATAACACATACCAGGGAATGAGTTCTATTCCATGACTGTATGCCTTTTGCTGCTCTTCAGTTGTATTTGTGTCCCACTCTTTTGACTGCTCAGATATGTCACTTTCTGAATCTGAGAGATCTCCAATTATAAACCTGTATGTGAAGTAGGATACAACACTTACGTTATCCAGTATTTGGATATATACTGTATACATAGTGGACCATCTGATATACATGTTTTCATTTACTCTATGCATGTTTAGCTACAATACTATCTTTAAAACCTGTTCCACTATAGTTTAAATTCAGCATAAGATTAACATCATACTGTTTAGAGGTACGAGGACATCTATGCTTAAAGACTTTGACAGTATTGCATCATATAGAATGTACCTATATACTATTGTAATTTTGAACAAACTAATTAATTAACAGTTATTGTTAGGATTGATATCACTGTATTAGAGACAGAGAAAAAATGTATGATGACAATTTTTTCAGGTTTCCACCCCAAACATCACATGTACAAAAATATAAAAAGTTATTAATAGTGAACAACTTTCACAGGGGATCTAAAACCAAAGTGATTCCAGGTTCTAAATGCAAACCATACAATAGCTTTGGCTGCAATATGTCCAAATCTCATTTGCGGACATTAGCAGCCCAGCCTAGTGGATTGAGGGCTAATTCCTGTATTATATTTCTACTCTTCAGAGATTCACTCTGTGGCCTTGAGCAAGTTACTTACTCTCTCTGTCTTAGGCAACATCTACATTTAGGAGCTACAGGTGTGATTCCCAGCTCACTCAGACATACTTACACTAGCTCCCATCAAGCTAGCAAACTGAAAATAGTAGTGTAGCTGGGGTAGCACAGGTTTGGGGCAAGCCATTCCACGTACCATAGGGTTCAGGAGGGTTTGTACTCAGCACGGCTAGCCCATGCCACTACTCGCCGCTACATGTGCCACCCTGGCTACATCATTATTTTTAGTGTGCTGACTCAATGAGAGCTAGCATGAGTATGCATGCGTGAGGTGGGAATCACACCCCTTGCTCATAGCATAGACATACCCTTAATGTTATCATCTATAAAATAGTGACGACAACAACACATACCTTGCTCAGAAGAGTGTTGTGAGAATTAATTAGTGAATATTTCTATTTTGAACATGTAAAATGTTACATAAGTAACATATCAATCACAGTGTTTATAGCTACCAATCAAAATATAGTGAATACCTTTACTGTTCTTAGAAACAGCTGCTATGAAGCACAAAAATTTAAATTAATGAATATGGTTTATGAGAACAGAATTCACTTATCCAAAATCTCCTCCCTACAGGAGCTTCTTCTACCAAATTAAAACATACATGTACTGCTGTACTGAATGTAAAAAGAACAATCATACGCCCGATCCTCAGCTAGTATACATTGCTGTTGACTTCAATGCATCTCACCCCATATCTAAACATTAAAGTATTTGTCATGACCATACAAGAATAACTTTTTCAAATTGAAAAAAGCAGCCAACCCTACACATATCCTAGAAAATATTTACAGCATTTAACAACAGAGAGGACTTGCAAAGAGCGGCCCAGGATAGACAGGGATGGCAGAGCCTTGCTCGTGCCCTAAGCAACATCTTACAGCACAGAAAAGATTCAGATTTAAATTCAGATTTATATGAAGCAGCCACACAAAAAATGCACAACTAATTTCTGGCAGGATAGCACAAACAATATAGCTTAGGAAGTGCTGAGAACAAACTTACAGAACTCGGTTTGACTCAGAGGCTTTCTTTGCATGTGTTGTACTGAGATGCATTAGGAATGAAGGAAACAGATAAAAGGAAATGTTAGAACAGAATGTAGTTTTAGGAAGGAAATAGCAAGGCATGCAATATATAAAAAAATCCTGTGGATTTTCATGCTTATTCTAAAGAGAAATTACTGTGCTTTAAAAGTGTTGATTCATATATATACAATATGGCTTGTGTCTCCAAAGTGGGATCAATCATTAAAAGGATTATGTGGCAAAATTTAGAACTTCTGCGTAAAGTTGATTAACAAACCTTGAAAAAGTACATATACTATAAGCAAGCTTCTGTGGGTCAGTTCTTTTCCACCCACAATCAAAATTTCTAATGAATTTCTACGATTTCTAACGAATCAAAATAAAATTCCAGTTCTTTCTTTGGAGTGGATAGGTGAATGTGACTCTCACAGCCATATCACTTTCAAGGACATCAAATTACACGTAGATTATGTAATTTCCCCTTCTCCAATGACACCCATCTTTTATGGATTCCCACTCTTATATGCTGTTGTGTATGAAAACATTAAACCACAGGAAAATTAGGGGGAGCTTCTATCTCAATTTACTCTGGTATACCTTGATTTTGACAATATTTAAATGTCACAAATTTGAAATAATTTGAAATATATAAGCATTTTAAATTAGAAAAATAACCCTATCCTCTCTGTCATAGGAATGGGAGATGACAAGTAAATGTACTTGCTTTGGCAATTTTCTGTCTTCCTACCCAAATTGCTTTATCCCTGAAAAGAGGAAGCCCTAATAAAAATGAATCATTGACATATACTTGGCATGTCAGGAAATTCCAGGTCAATAGCCAAGTCACTGATCACAGAGTGCTAAACATCCTATCAACTAGTAAGAGTAGGAAAATTGATAAACATATTCCCTGACTTTGTTAGATGCCCCTTATATTCTTCAGATCAAGCCAAGTTATCTATTTTTGTGGACTCATGGCCTCAGTTCTATATTTAATTCAGGAAAAATCAATTAATGGAAGATCTTCATTTTCATTTTGAATGATAACACTGAAGGAAATTATGTGATATTTCCCCCAAACATAAAAATATTACAGGTTTCAGAGTGGTAGCTGTGTTAGTCTGTATCAGAAAAAACAATGAGGAGTCCTTGTGGCACCTTAGAGACTAACAAATTTATTTGGGCATAAGCTTTCGTGGGCTAAAACCCACTTCATCAGATGCCTGGAGTGAAAAATACAGTAAGCAGAATATATACAATAGCACATGAAACGATGGGAGTTGCCTTACCAAGTGGGGGGTCAATGCTAATGAGCCAATTCAATTAAGGTGGAAGTGGCCTATTCTCAACAGTTGACAAGAAGATGTGAGTATCAGTAGAGGGAAAATTACCCATGGGTCACTACAAAAAGTAATTTTCCCTCTGATGATACACCTTCTTGTCATCTGTTGAGAATAGGCAAAATAGAATAGGAAACGGGCAACATCCACCTTGATTGCATTGGCCTCGTTAGCACTACAAAAGTAATTTTCCCTCCCTTGGTATTCACCCGTTCTTGTCAACTGTTCAGAAAAGGCCACTTCCATCTTAATCAAATTGGCTCATTAGCACTGACCCCACTTGGTAAGGCAACTCCCATCGTTTCATGTGCTATCGTATATATTCTGCTTACTGTATTTTTCACTCCATGCATCTGATGAAGTGGGTTTTAGCCCATGAAAGCTTATGCCCAAATAAATTTGTTAATCTCTAAGGTGCCACAAGGACTCCAAAATATTAGAGTTTCATATATCACCCTTACAAAAATCAAGATTTCTACTACTAAACAGTCTTTAGTTTAAATAAATAACTATAATTAAAATGCTTTTAAACTTTACTAAGTACCCAAATATTAACATATACAGAAGAGCATACGTTAATGACCTCACATACAGGGGTGAAAGTAGAAATAGAGACTTACCAGTATGGGGCTGGGTTGGGGCCAGCTCTGGACCCTGGAAGGGGCGGGGGCTCTGGGCCCCGGAAGGGGCAGGGCCTCGGGCAGAAGGGGCGGGGATGGGGGGGGTCAGAGCCAGCCCTGGCCCGCCCTGTACTGGTAAGTGCCCTCCCCGTCCCCCGCCGGGGTAGCAGCGGCAGCCAGGGGCTCTGGCAGCAGTTTAAAGGGCCCAGAGCTCAGCCGCTGCTACCACCCCGGACCCTTTAAACCACTGCCGGAGCCCCCGGCTGCTGCTGCTACCCCAGGGCTCCGGCAGCAGGGCTCGGGGGGCTATTTAAAGGGCCCGGGGCTCCCCTGCCTCTACCGCCCCGGGCCCTTTAAATAGCCCCCAGAGCCTGCTGGAGTGGCGGTGGGGCTCCGGCGGCTATTTAAAGGGCCTGGGCTGTAGAGGCAGTGGGAGCCCCAGGCCCTTTAAATAACCCCCGGAGCCCTGCTGCCGCTAACCCAGGGCTCCAGCAGTGGGGCTCTGGCGGCAATTTAAAGGGCCTGGGGCTCCAGCCGCTGCTGGGAGCCCCAGGCCCTTTAAATTGCCGCCTGGGGAAGCCGGTACGCCGTACCAAGGCGTACCGGCTTACTTTCACCTCTGCTCACATACTACATGCAAAATACTACTCCCATTGCACTGGAAAACCTGTCAGCGGTGCACAATATTTTAAAACGAACCTGCTTTTCCAGCCTCTACACAAAAAAAGAGCAACATGGTATTGCCTCATCCTCCTCTGCTGCAAGCTCCTGTCCCTCCCAGAGTTCTCAATGTGCACAAGAAGGAGAAAACAGGACAGTGGGAAGGGAAAGGAGACTTCAAGCTCTGACTGCTGTCAGCCAGGAGGGCCTGGCTACAGAGGGATGAAGTCTTTAGGGAAGCAGACGGGACAGACTGGTACTGCTCAAAGAAGGATGAATTCATTTAATTTCATTTATGTATATAGATATAGAACATATGTTCCAAAGCAATGATTAAACATTTACAGGAGAAGTTACCTTCCCATATATTGTTTTACCATTACTACAAGCATTTTGCTTTGCTTCAATAAGTGAAATGTTGGTTTCCCAAGTTTCTTTTAAATCTGAGCTGTGAATTAAATACTAGTTTTAAAATCAGAGGGGTAGCCGTGTTAGTCTGGATCTGTAAAAAGCAACAGAGAGTCCTGTGGCACCTTTAAGACTAACAGATGTATTGGAGCATAAGCTTTCGTGGGTGAATACCCACTTCGTCAGACGCATGCGATATTCACCCACGAAAGCTTATGCTCCAATACATCTGTTAGTCTTAAAGGTGCACAGGACTCTCTGTTAGTTTTAAAATGTTAGATGTTAGTTAAGAAAAATAATTTCTGGAAGGAAGCATGTAAGTTGTAAGAAATTCTAAAGACTATGGGCTTTCTACAGCACTCTTCTGCAATCAAGGGATGACGTAAATGGACAGTGAAGTAGGACAGCCTTTCTTGGCATCAGCTGCTGCTTCGCTGCTCAGAAGGAACTAAGGCCAGATGTTAATAATTCTATTAGAAAACATTATTTCAGGAAACAAAGATTATTTCTTTAAAATGAAATTTACAATTGCATGTAAATGAAATAAACACAGGAAGCTCGTAGTTCCTTCTCAGATGCTCACTTACTGGACTTTATATATAGATGCCTCAACCAGTTTGGATACCTCTAAACATGTGGGTATTTTCCTATCTGTCATGCGGATCAGACTACTTTATCTAATACCCCTACAGAGGTAGGGAGCATGCTTCCTGTTAACTATCTGCTACTGTGATATTTTAAATTTATTAGATTCGACTAAAGCTCTTTGTAAAAACAAAAGTTCCTCTCTTTATAACAGAACTACACTTGTCCTTGGGAAAGACTGTGATGGACATAGAACCATCATCTCACCCAACTGCATTTTTCTCCTGTTTCTATGCTGTATAGCTGTGGTTAGTTAGAAATGCACTGTGGGAGACTGATCTCAAATTAGAAGCTAGATATATAAAACCAATTTCATTCCCCTTAAAATTTTTTCCTCTTTAAATTCAATAAGAAAGACAACTAGAAAAACAAAGCAACACTTTGGAAGATCAAATGATTTAGCAGGCTTTGGATTTATCACTATTCCCATGTGACCAATACTGTACTGTATACTGGTATGATATTGATCTACTACTGGACCTCTCGCTGTACAAGTGGGAATTGGGAATCTGAGGTTGCTGAACACCAAGCTTTTTCACGTGTCATAATTAAAGAAACACCTATGCTAAATAACTGGACTGATCCAGTGTGAAAATTCGAAGTGTTTATAGCTTTCAAAGATTCTTCCTGAGATAATTATGACCCTCAAATGAACATATCCTTAAAAAGTAGCAGGCTTACAAACAATAATAAATAACCTTTATATTAAGAGCAGAATGCTGTTCTAACCCACAGGATATAATGTTCTGAGCTTTGATAACAGAGATGCTATGGTGCTATTCCTGGCACAACTGATCAAAATCATAATGTAACGGTGGGTTTCTAAAGCTCTCTAGACAAGATGAAAGGGATTTGCCTGGAAGTAATTACATCACAAAAGAAGATAAAACTATTGAGAGATTCCAAGCATATGAGCATCCTGATATCAAGCATAACTCTGGGAAAACAGCTGAAATTGGAAGGGGCAAAATTCAAGGATGCTTAAAGTTTCATGTTGTTACCATAACTGAGACTCAGACAACAGTAAATTAAACATGAAAAATCTTGAAACGCATAGAAAAATAGCACAGTAACCTATACAATGTAAAACCTACTGGTATCGGTTTCTATCCTTCAAAGAGTTTTTTCTTGAATTGCCTCCTTCACTAAAATTGTCTTCAACTTCTTCAGATTCCAAACTGCGGTTACAACTCCGAATGGTTTGAAAGATACTGTTTGCTGTTGATTCTTTTTCCGTATTATTTAAACCATCTTGGCCTACTCGTTGCAAGAAATTATCTTGCCCATTGTAATCTGAAACAAACTAAAAAAGCCCAGATAGTTAATACAATGAACAGTTAGAATAGTGCATAGTTAAGTAAACTGACAGAAATAGAGTTTAACTTGCGATTTTCAAAGGGGCCTTAGCGTGTGAGGCACAGATCAACCATTGACTTTCAGTGGGAGTTGGACACCTAATTCTGGTCTACTATTAGGACTTCTAGGCATTACAATAATATAAACAAACAATTAATATTAATTTCTTTAGACTCTTTGAAAATCTCAGTTTTAATCTCTACACTTGAGGGATTATTTGAAAGGGAAAAAAATGGAAAGAACAGTTATTTACCTTACAATGACTGTGATTTTTCAAGATGTTGTAGTCAGTGTGGATTCCACTGTAGATATGGCTGTACCACACGTGTGAGAGATTGGATTTTTTTTTTAAATAGCGATGTCTATTACGGCCATGCATGTGCCCTGTGCCTTCTTGTGCTCCCATGGAAGAGGATAAAGGGTCCAAGAACTGACCCTCCCTCAGTTCCCTTGCAATTTGAAGCTTGTGTTAGCTGAAGACTCAAACTGTGAATGGAGCAAAGGGCAGGTCATGGGATCTACACTGCTAACATCATCTCGAGGAATCACTTTTACTGTAGGGTAACTTTTTTCTTCTTCGGGTATGTGTAAGCCACCACTGTAGGTGACTGTCAAGTAGTAGCCTCTTCAGGATGGTGGACATGAGGAGAATCAGCTGCAACTGTTGAAGACAAATGGGAGTACAGCTCTCCCAAAATTTGCAATAAGTCCAGTGCATAATGCTTGACAAATGTGAGCAGGTTGTTCTACATAGCAGCCTGGCAGATTTCAGATACTGACACATTGCAGAACTGTGCTGAGGATGCCACTTGAGCTCTGGTAGAATGGTCCCTAAACTGTCAGTGGGAGAGGAACATCAGCCATCTGGTAGCACAGTGTAATACATTTTGAAATTTTAGGGATGAAATGGTTTGCCCTTTAGAGTGGCCAGCTATAGCCTCATATAATCGTGGGGACAGTCTGAAAGATTTGATCCTGTCAATATAGTTTCAAAGAACCCTGGATAAACCAAGGTATGGAGTTTCTTCTCCTCTTGCCTGGAACATGGCTATGGGAAGAACACGTTAGTTCACTGATTGATTCAAATGCATTTCTAAAACCACCTTGGGAAGGAGTTTTGCATAAGCTCTCAGGACCACTTTGTCTCTATGAAACCAGGTAGACAGAGGTTCTGCTATGGGCTGATGGATCTCACTGACTCTTCTGGTTGAAGTGATGGCAACCAGGAATACTGTTTTAGAGAGCATGTTGGATAGATGTTGGAAAGGGACTCAAAGGGGAACTCTATAAGCCTGTGAAGGACAACACTGAAGTCCCATTCAGGGTCTCTAACCAATGAGTGAGCATGCATAAGGCACTTAAGGAATCTGGATACCAACATATGAGAGAAGATTGAAAGAGACTGAATTGGTGGAGGATATGCTGAAATTGTCACCAGATGGATCTTAATTGAACTAAAATCCCAGAATGTTTTCATTGCAGCAAGTAGACCAGAATCTTCAGTATTGGGACCTACATTGGGTCCAGGCCACGTTGGGCTGCCCACATCAAGAACCTTTTCCATTTAGAAGAATAAGTTTTCCTTATGGATAGTTTCCTGCCTGATGCCAGGATCTCCTGATATGCAAGGAGCAGTGCTTTTCCATGATGTTCAGCCAGCCAATATCCAAGCTTTCAGCATCAGCAATTTTGGGTTCAGATGGAGTACTTGACATATATCTTGTACAATAGATGTGGGTGGTCTGGAAGTCAGGTTGGTGTTGCAGAAAGACTGCCAACAAGAACTATTTTGGCCAGTCGGGAGCTAACTACCAAGATGAATCATGTCCAATTTTGTCTAACTTTGGCAATCACCCTGGCGATTGCTAGGACTGGTGGGAAGATGTAAAAAAGGGCCCCAGTACCACTGTTGGAGGAAAGTGTCCAGTAAAGGTGGAGAAGTGATATCTGAAAGTCAGCTCTGGAGTGGTTTTGGCATGGTTCTCAATCATCTCATCAAACCTGCTGCCTCGGGGGGGGGGGGGGGGGGAGAGAGAGAGATTGATTTGCAACAGAGAAGGGGGAGGAGGGGTGCCTCCATGAATAGTGGGGTCACTTTTTGGATGAATACTCAGGCTGACAGCTATGAGAGAAAGATGACATTCTCGGTTTCTGAAATGACTGGTGCTGGAAAGGTTTGCAGTATGGTACTGGGGTATAAATGTCCAAAGAGCTGAGTGTTGGTTTGGAATCCTTGAGACAGTGCAGTGCCTCTTCCATTCATGGGCTATTTAAATGCATATCTTCAAAGGGTAAGTCCTCAGTTGTAGCCTGGACTTCCCTTGATACTCCGGGATGCCTGAACCCAGGAGACTTGGTGCCTTATGACTGCTGTGGAGATAGATTAAGCAGCTGTATTGGATTCATCCACTGCCACTTGTAGTGGCCATCATCTGCCCCTCCTTGATCATGTCTCAGTTCTTCCCTGTGGGAGTTGAGATAGGAAGGAAGCCACCCTCTCCCATATCAGAAAGTTGTATTTTGCAAACAGCACTATATTGGTTGTAATGCAGAATTGGAGAGATGCTTTCCTTCCACAAATGTCCAGCTTTTTGGGGTCCTTGTCTCTGAAGTCCTGTTGGTGGATCTACTCCTCTCCTGAACTGCAGAGACGATGAACAACCCCAGTGTCAGATGAGCATTAAAGTAATCAAAACTTCTGGGTGGGAGTTGGTACTGTTTTTCCAGCCGCTTCCAAGACAGAAGGGAGTGAGGCAGGGATGTGTCCCAAACCCTTCACTGGGTCTAAAATTCCCTCATTGATTGGGAGGGCAATTCTTGTGGGCATGGACGTGCTGAGGTTGTCAAATAATTTATGATTGTCTTCCTGGAGCACCATCATTTCCATGTCCAATGTGTCAGCTATCCCTGGAAAGGAAAGCCTGGAAGTCATTGACCGCCAGTGTTGGGGCTATGATGGCTGATTCCTCCAGGGATGAGGAGAATTCTTTAGGTAGGAAGGGCAGCTGGAGTGTCTCTCATATTAACTGCACCATGTCTTTGGAAGGCCCATGCAGTACTGGCGAGGGCGCTGAAGCAAGCATTGCTGATGGTGACTGAGACCATCTCCTCTTTTCTGAGCCCTGGGAAGAGGCCTTGCTACGGGACCTGTGGGAAGGTAGGGCCTCAATAAAGCCAGTACAGCAAGTTGTACTGGTCCTGGCTAAACTGTGGGTGTCCCAACCATTCCCAGTCCTGCACAGGGGCTCTGTACCACATACCTTCGGAGTACCCTTGCAGGTACTGTCCTTTCCTCTTGGGCAACGGTTCCTTGCTGAGGTGGGGGAGAAGGAATGGCCTGGTGATGATGAGAAGAAATAGCTCTCTGGAAATTATAGTGCCAATACACATGGTTTCTGGCACTGATGTTTGTGGAGCTGGTGCCAAGATCAGTATTGGTGTCTAGGCTTGTTTTGGCACCAAGAGGAGTCGTGAAGGGGGGCTTTTTGAAGGAATGTCTTGATACCAAGAAGGGTTCTGGTTCCACGATCAGTACTGGAGCAGTTCGCTGTATCAATGTCAGTACCAGTGCAACCATCTGGTCTCTTGGTCTCACTGGTGCCATGATACTATGCCTTATCAATGCTGAGGATTTCAAGGGCTTCTCCCTAGTCCTTGTTTCTCTCTGCAGAAACTGACTTTGATACCAGTTGATTGCTGTGTTTGCGCTTGGTGGTGGAGTGTCTCTCCATCTCAGAAGGCAGTGCCAGGTCTCTCTGTCCTGAAGACGATGTCAGTTCAGTCAGTGGTAAAGTTGCTGTTGGTGATGTTGCCACTGGTGACAATGGTATTGGCATCCTTTTTGCCTTCTTTTCCCTACTGGAGCCAGAGATGTGGTGCCTGATATAGACAGGGTGATCAGTGAACACAATCTCCTTGGATCTGGTGCTCCTGAATCTGAAGCTATCTTCATGTATAGGTCCAAGAGGGGCAGTTTGAGCCTCATGTCTTGGGATTTCCAGGTGTGGGTTGAAAAGGAGTGGCAGATGGAACATTTGTTGGTGATGTAACCTTCACCAAGGCAGAACAGACGGAAGTTGAGGCTAGACAAATTTGGACTGGAAATGAGGCATATAATTTTTAACAGTGAGGGTAATTAACCACTGGAACAATTTATCAAAGGTTAGGGTAGAGTCTCTATCACTGGCAATTTTTAAATTATATTTAGATTTAAAAAAAAAAGATCTGTTCTATTTCAAATGGAATTATTTTGATAAAGTTCTATAGCCTATGTTATACAGGAGGTCAAACTAGATGATCACAATGGTCCCTTCTGGCCTTGGAACCTATGAAACTGCTATGTCCATCTATGAGAGGCATGAAACCATAACAGGAAGGACACACATTAAACATAGTGGGTTTTGAGCCTGCCATAGCTAGAGATTAGCACGAAGCACCTCACTCTGCTGTACGGGGGCGGGGGAGGGGTCTCCCCCATGTCTGTCCTAATTGCTTGCTCTCTTTCTTTTTTTCATGAATACCCAACAAAAAAGTCTAAGATGAAGGATCTAATTAAAAGGAGAAGTGCAGAAGGGTTTCTTCACTGGAAAAGGGTTCTGAAACCAGAAGCAGATCAGACAAATTCCAGGTCTGTCTCACTGCCACAGACATTAAGAAAGAATTGAGAGAAGGTCAGGGCCTCTCCACCCTTTATGTCTTTACACGAGAGCACGAAGTAGCACAGAGCTGCATCCATGGCCCTGCCGGGTGTTGCTATTCAAAAGATTCCAGACTCGCATGCCTGAGCACCTACCTCAGGATCCACATTGACACATACTCGAAGAATTGCTTCTTTTCATATATTAAGGGTCTGAAATACTGAGGTTCTGAACTCTTATTTACTGTTATTCCCTATTGAATTAAGTGGAAGTTAAGAGCACATCCTTCAAAGGAAGTGCTTAGCATCTTCCAGAATGAGGTTCTTTGGCATAAACATTCATTGTTCATTGCAACTGTAGTTGCAAAATATTTGTCATTCCGATATGTAAACAATCCACTTTAAATTAATTTTTAAAAAATGAATACGAGTTGTTATTGTATAATTGGATTGAGATCCTTCCATTTGATACCATGCATTACACTTTGGTTTAGAGAAAGCCACAAAAAGTTTCATCAACTGCATTGAACAAAGGGGGTTCAATAAACTGTCATCTTCAATAACTGTCAAATAATAATTTCACTATCATCTACAATTTGGTAGGGAGCCATTTTCACTGTATACAGGATATGGGCATGTAACCATTTAGAACATCAATGCTATCTCATAATAATTTACCTCTAATGTTTCATCCTGGGAATTATACTGTGGGCAAAGTCTGATGAGGCTTGCTGCTCCATCTAGAACTTCACAAAGCTCCTTTAAAAATACACCACAGAAAGGAACTACTTTACAGCCTGGAATATTCAGAGCACGATTTACCACTTTCCGATATTCAGAGGATGATTCATGTTGTGCCATAGCATCCTTCAGACTTCGCATGGTTTCAATATCAGATTGATCCATGAACTGCCACATTTTTAAAACTTTTCTAGACCTATTGCAAATAGACAACAAAACATTTGTAAGAAAATTAAAAAAACATAGTTTACATTAAAGTTCAACCCCAGAAGTCGATCTCTTCTATTAAAAAAAATTAGTCTTACTTTCATTAGAATTATTCCGAAACAGGGGTCAGCACCACCATGTTGTGCGACGGACACTTGACAAAATTATTGGACTTAGTGACAGACATTGGCGGGGGGCAGGAGGAGGCTCCAGGCTGAGGAAGGGGGTTGGGGTGTGGGAAGTGGTACGGGCTTTGGGCTGGGGGTGCGGGTTCCAGGGAGGGGACAGAAATGAGGGGTTCAGGGTGCCAGAGGGGGCTCTGGGCTGGAGCAGGGGGTTGGATGTAGGGGGTGGTGTGAGGGCTCCAGTTGGGGGTGCGAGGGCTCCAGTTGGGGGAGAAGGCTCTGGGGTTACACTGGGGGTGAGGTGTTTGGGGTGTAGGAGGGTGCTCCAGGCAGGGACCAAGGTGTTTGAAGGGCAGGAGGGGGAATCAGGGCTGGGCCAGGGGGGTGGGGCATGGCCGTGTGTGTATGCAGGCTCCATGCAGCGCTTACCTCAAGCAGCTCCCGGGAGCAGCGGTATGTCCCCCTTCCGGCTCCTACACAGAGGCGCGGCCAGGTGGCTCTGCACGCTGCTCTGTCTGAAGGTGCTGCCCCCGCAGTTCCTAATGGCCATGGTTCCCGACCAATGGGCTGGAAGCCGCAGAGGCAGCGCTGGGGGGGACAGAGGCAGCGTGCAGAGCCGCCTGGCTGCGCCTCCGCAGCAACAGCAGGGACGGGGAGCCGCTTGCAGGGAGGCTCACCTCGGGTGGCTCACCCACCCCCACCAAGCAGCTCCCTGTCCCTGCTGTTGCTGGCAGAGGCGCGTGCGGCCAGGCAGCTCTGCAGGCACGCTGCCTCAGTCTGCAGGCGCCGCCCCCCCGCAGCTCCCATTGACTGTGGTTTCCGGCTAATAGGCTGGGAGCTGTGGAGTCAGCGCTTGGGTAGGGGGAACAGAGGCAGTGTGCCTGCAGAGCCACCAGGTGTCTGGCCGCATCTCTGCCAGCAACAGCAGGGATGGGGAACCGCTTGCGGAGAGCCACCTGAGGTGAGTGCTCCCATGGACCTCAAAATTTTTACCATAGACACTTGTGTCCATGTACGGACACATTGCCGACCCCTGTAAATGAATGAGACAAATTCAGTTGGGTATTCCTAGAAAAACTCAGGCTAACAGAGCAATTTTTTCCTTTTGAATAATTGAACACCAAAATGAACATGCGAAGCTGAGTAATGAGATCTAGATATTGCTGGAGCTACAGCTGGGATTTTCAACAGAGCCTAAGAGAGTTAGGCACAACAGCTTGGGAAGGAAAAGAGGAATCTTTTACACTTATCTTGTTACACTGTCTTAAAAATAAAGCGTAGTGGGAGAAAATCAGAGATAACATTTCCTCTGCTGTATTATTACTAATCCTTTAGATAAGCAAGAGTGAAATAATTTTCAAAACTGATTTTAAATAATTAATGTTGATCATTAATTTTTTTGCATTTCCCTCAGATTGGACAATGAAAATAAACTATAAAATAAACAATTTCACTTTTGTTTCTAGTTAGTTTCACTTTCCAGCTCTCGTGCACTAGCATGTTGCGGCAACGTTTGTGTTGTAGATGCTCAAAGGAATGTTTATATCCAAACAAAAAATGGTTTTAGGACTGCACGAGAGAATACATTAGCACTGCTAGAAGTTCCCTCATCCCCAACGGAGCATGTTTGGGCAGAGCCCTGGCAATTCCACCCCTCCGCACCTTGCACACCAGCAGTGCTACAGGAAAGCTAATACAAGACACCCCACTCCCCACTATCTCCTTGTTCACTGCATAAAGCTCTGGCAGTACCCTTCCTTTCCTCACCTTCCCTCATGCAGTGCACTCACAAGAGGCATAATTAAACTCTTATTACAGTTTTGACTTCTCCCTGAATAGGCTGGCTTGTCGTAGAACAACCATTCACAGCCTTCTCAGGCTTACATGGCCTGGGAGGCCGTGGATGTGTTCTGCAGGACAAGGCCTCTTGTGTTTGTGAGTGCTTTGAATGTGTTTCATATATTAAAAATGTAAACTAACAGCGCAATGAGTGTGCTTATTAAACCACAAAAAGCTGCAGTAAAAACACATTAAAGGTTTGCTATGCAAACACAAAATACAAGGAAAGTCAGAGTTAAGAGGCTGGAACTTTAGACTTAACTCTTCCTACTACAAAATAATTCATTATATACTGTATGTAAGATCACCTACTGTTCTGAGAACCCAGCAGCAGTTAGCGTAGGTAAAATGGAGTGACCTAAGGAAGGAGCTTTATTTGACATTTCTTTGTTGACCTATAATCATATTACTTTAACATTTATAGTTTCACTATCTTTGTTATTGAAACTCCAACCCTAAAACTATAGTAGTTGTAGTGAGTTACAGATAGTTAAAATAGAACTGCTTTTACACTCTTCTTTTCTCATTTAAATCATCTATTTGAAAAATGTATCTCCATGTTTTCAATTTAACATATTTAGCATGTACCAGGATAGGTGACGATGTCTCCAGAGCATTCTGAGAAAATGGCTGTCTTTCACCATGTTTAATTTTTCCAGAATAATTATGAGAAATTCAAAAGATGAAATGATGTGATTTAGCAACAGAATACTGCTCAACAGAGTGATTGATTCAGTGCCACACATTGTCCTTCAGAGAGGAGTTGTGCTTAATAGAAGCTGTAGTTTAATCTCTATCTCTGAAACTTCCTTATGTAAAAATGAGTTGCCAGTACCTAAGCCCTGCCAAGAATTCCATTACAGCATTGTAGTTTCCCATGTTCCAGCAGCATTTTGCCACATGTACTAAATATGAGAAGACTTCTCGTTTCTCCTCCATAGAACCGGCAGTAAGGATCAACCATGTAACCCAAGAGCTCACCTAATAAAACAAAATGTACAGTACAAGAAATCAGCCATGGCTATGTTATTTGGAACATTCAGACACATTTAATGCAATAGAATGAATACATATTAATCATAAATTGTCTTTATCGGGGGGAAAATAAGATATTTCACCAAATTATATATATACCCACACACAATAAAATCACACAAAAACATTCACCACATATATTATAAATACTGTATGTATATACATATATCACACACATATATGCAAAGTATTTGAATCTCAAAATGCTTTTTACAGTTGTTTATTTTAAACCAAAAATGCTGAACAATAACAGACATTGTGTCATAGACTAGGGCTAAGATTTTCAAAGCTGCCTAAAGGATTTGCAAGGCCAATTCCCATTAAAATCAATGGGAACTGGCACCCAAATCTCCTACTTGGCTTTGAAAATTTTAACCTTAGATAAGATAACCCATTTTATTCAACTTGGGCAACAGGTCAGAAGCAGCAGTTTATAAATTAGAGAATATTTTTTGCTTGAGTTGACTGTGCTGGCATTTGTATATATGTTCTCTTGATGTGCAAATTTGTTCACTGCAATATATTCTAAATACGTTTAATAATTAGCTACTATAGCTATTTGTTATATAAGAAATGAAGCAGAAAATATCACTTTCCAAATCTGACCTTATTGTCAAGTTCTGTTTGGTAATTTATGTCAGCATCAGAAATCAACTAACTATATGATTCTGTTCATACTTAAAATCTGATCAGGCATAGATATTTACCACTCTGAAAATTTTCAGTTTACTTTCCCACAACATCCACAAAAAATAGATATATTTCACATGGAAACCTAATTTAAACCAACTGTTCCTTTTTACAATATGATTCCCTAGGGGTTGATTTTTATCACTGTAGAAATACTTTTAATCATAAAATAATAAATGTGATCTGTTCACTGCCATTGAGTTCCATTCTTCTTTTGGTCTTGAATGATTTGTGTGTTTATAGCCATTACCAGAGTGATGAGAGCTTCACATAACATTTGAGACCACTAGCTTCCCCCAAAGAAAGAAATTTGTATTTAATGTCCTACTGATATACTTAAAGACACAAACCATGGGAAACGTGAAATTAACTGAAAATTTGTTGAATTGAAAACAATTTATTAAAACACATAGGGGTTATATACATCACTATATTTTCCTGAGCCTATACAGACACAGTATTCTCTATTCCTCATTCTGGGTCATGAGAACAGCAAATACAGTAAAAGCAAGAACAAGAATAAGATTATTCTCTTGCTTTTCAATCTTTCTGATGCCCAATTTAATCAAGCGCAACAAAGTCAAGTTCCACTGTTTTCTTAATGTTGAAATGTATTAACATACTATACTATTAATGAAAGACTGTGTTTAAGTAATATTAGGGTTAATAGAAACCAGCAAAATTCAGGAAATGCAAAGTTATGGCTTTGCCCTAAATTCAACTGTGAAAGAAAGAAAGAAAGAAAGAAAGAAAGAAAGAAAGAAAGAAAGAAAGAAAGAAAGAAAAAGAAAGAAAGAAAACTAGCTTTGTTATTGGCTTGTGTCACATTTTCAGCATTATTCAAATGTATTTTTACATTTAAGTTTCTTTCTTTAAATAAATTAATAAGGGGAAAGTAAGTCAATGAGGTGCAAACATTTTTCCTATATATTGCCAGTGTTTTAAAACGGCATCTAAGGGCTTGTCTATGCAGTGCATTAGTCCACAACAGAGATGTATAAACTCCAATGCATACTAGCATGTTGCACGCTAACTAGTCCATGTGGACCCCTGCTGGCACACACTAAAGAGTTCCCTGGTGCATGTTTATGTAGTCCCATTTCAAACAGTACTATATTAACGTGCACTAGGGAACTTTTACTGTGTCCCAGCAGGGTCCCACATGGGTAAGTTAGTGCATGACACACTAGTGTGCACAAGAATCTATACCCCTCTGATGCAGGCTAATGCATGTGGTAGAGAAGCCCTAATTTACTCAAGAGGCAGAAACAGTTCTATATTTCAAATAAATACACACTCAAGTAAGTATATTTTCAAAAAGAGCTGTACACAGAGGGTGAAATGCTATGCTGTGCCTCTAAGGCCTGGTCTACACTAACACCCCAATTCGATCTAAGGTACGCAACTTCAGCTACGTGAATAACGTAGCTGAAGTCGACATACCTTAGTTCGAATTTACCGCGGTTCAGACGCGGTCCACACGCGGCAGGCAGGCTCCCCCGTCGCGGTACTCCTCTCGCTGAGGTGGAGTACCGCAGTCGACGGCGAGCACTTCCTGGTTCGAATTATCGCGTCCAGACCAGACGCGATAAATCGAACCCGGAAGTTCGATTTCCAGCCGTCGAACTACCGCGGTAGTGTAGACAAGCCCTAAGAGGTGCAGCATAGCACTCACAGATGGAGAGAGGGCTGAGGTGGTTTTAAGCCACACCTGATTCTGGGCTGCTCCAGGAGCTGCATCATTTAGACGGCCCTTGAAGGCTGTCTAATTTACAACAGCCTTTTCATGCCTGCCTAAGGGCAGCAGCACTGCCCAGAATCTCTGTAGTGCTAGGTGCTGCTGCTCTGCTCTTGGAACACTTCCCGCCACAAACCCCATCCCCAGCTTGCCTCCAACATCAGGTTTCTTTCACAATTCCTGTGCATGAGGAATTCTCTCTCAGATGGATCTGAAACTGTTAGCACCCAATTACACCACTGGTGTCCTTTTACCCAGAGTAATCAGGGGCGAGATTCTCACCTACTGCACGTATTTATAAAAATGCTACACGATTAAGGCCTCAGTTTTCCTCTTCAGGGAAAAAAAAGAAAAGGAAAATTTGAATTAATAAAAGTACGTGCATTTCTGTGTACTACATGAACAGCACAACTGCTGATATATACTGATGTTTGCTACTGATTATCACTATTGTCTAGTATATTTCTGTACTGCAGATCTTGTAGGTATCTAGGGCCATAATCCAGACCTTTAGGGACGTTGCATATTAGACTTATTTATGCACATAGGGCCTGATCCAAAGCTCACTGAAGTCAATGGAAAAACTTCTATTGACTTCAGTGGGCTATGGATTAGGCCCATTTTTTGGTCTAACGTGCCTCTTTCTAGTGGTTCAGTCCAAAATGGGTATTCTAGTTATTCTTTAACCAGACAAAACAGATCGGAACAGTAATGAAAACATTATATGAAATAAACAATGCTTGAGCAATACTGCAAACAGTATAGCTAACATTTGTTTGACCAAAAAGCAAAATTAATGCTCCAATTTCATATCCTGTTGCAATTACAAATTTTGTATAGTACCTAATATGTATTGCAAAATTATGTAATTAGAGTTACAACATTTCATGGTGCATCCTGTAATAAGTAATTTAATATAGTGTAAAGCATATGACCAGTTAGAATTTTGGCTGTGAGATGGCATCTGGATCGCCTCAGTTGCTAAATTGAAGTGCAACATGTCTTTCATTTCACTGAGATACGTGCCATATTGTCCTTTCCATAATATGCCACAATCTTTGTTCAGATTATTTAAAAGCAATATCCATTACATTCTCTTCTTTCATTAACTGTTTAAAAACACAATGTAACAAACAAATAAGAATAGGAAAATCTGTCTCTGCTCATCTGAAAATTTCCTTCCTTTGAGTAATAAGGCACACAGATCTGTCAGAATGGATATTTCAGTTTGTTTACATCTTGGGGGCAGGACCAGAACTTGTTAGTCACTGGCAGCAGGGGAATGCCTCACCTCCTGAAGTTCCCTGCATCTGAGATAACTTCCACATGACCAGGATAATTCACATTTACTTTCCTAAATTACAGATTATGTTAAATATACTTTGAGAAAAAGCACAGCAATTTCTCCAACTGCAGAGCATAATAAATTCTATCTAATGACAAAAAATCTAAATCCTTTAATATCAATGTCCATCTCTATTCTGAATGATCCATTTGTTTCCAAGGTGGCCTGGATCTGTGGACCTTATTACTTGAAAAAAAGGAAATTTTCAGGTAAGCACGGACAAATTTTCCTATTCTTTGTACAAAGGACCACAAATCTGTTACAATGTGATTTTCATAGCAGTGTGACTCTAAGGTAGAAGCAGGATCATCTTTTAAATGTTGACTCCTCCATCTTCTCCTGGACCGTAAGGCACAGAGAAAACTTCTGCCAAAAGACAGGAAATGACAATGACTAAGGTAGGTGACCAATGTGCAGAATCTGGTGAACCTATGTACTGATGCCCATTTGGCTGTCCAAAAGATCTCAATACAGGATTATCAGCACTCCTAAAGACTGGACTTTGATGTTTAACTGAAGAAGGAATATATCTTGAATTTACTTAGGAAATGAATGCTATGACAGTTGAGAGAACGACCTGTCTGAATTAAAGGTATGATATTGGGTCTGATTAGAGGAAGCTCCTTAAAATAAAAATTCATCTGACTGGCGATAATAGCCATTAGGAGGCATACCCAATGCATAGCAAGTATAATGGTACCTACTGCAGGCGTTCAATCTGGGGTAGTATTGTAAGGAGCAAAATCAGGTTCCAAGGTCATACTTGACCTTGTGAGATTGAAATAAAGTTTATGCCCTAAGGAGCATATAATGTTGGGATGTGTACAAAAGTTTCTTTTCTTGGACAGGCTAGGAATATTATATTACAAAAACCTGGCCTTTTTTCTTGGACACTCTTATACATGCACAATAAAGCCCTCCTGGAGGAACTCAAGGCTATGTTTCATTGATTTAACATGGTAATTAAGTTATTTTGCACCATCCCATAGAATAATTTCTATTTGTTGACTTCTCCTTTGGGACCCATGTGAACAAGAATCACTTCATCAAAGTATTCATTTTAAATTTTTCTGGTCCCAGGTGGACTATTTTTTATTTTATTTTATATCACACCTCCTCTGTGAGATACAGACATCTGAAGATCCAATCAGGCCTGAAAACCATAGTCTCTTC